CTTTCTTTATAATTATAACCGTTTATTAAATTATTTAGTTTAAATAACGTATATAAAGCCTTTATTCATTCAAAAACATTTTTAATTAAAAACAAAGTTTTATGGTCAGGTTGTGTTTTAACAAAGGCCTACTTTTGACCATACTTTTCTGTCCCTGCTAGCCTGATCCATCTCAGTCGCAGACCATCGCCCATCTATTTTTATTTTTATTTTTTATTTATGCTCTCAAACACATGTTTAAATTATGTCTTCATTTTAAATCAAACACTTCTGAAAATATGTTACACAAAGTGTGAAACTAACATGAGAACTTTGTACTGAAAAAGTCCCATGGGTCCGCCAGGCATCTGCGAACATACAATGTAAATACATAAAAAAAAACGAAAAAAAATAATTATCATTGCAAGGTTGCACGACTTGGCGAAAGGTCTTAATGGAGTTTCTGAACATGTCCGCCGAGTTATTTTTCATCACAGGTTTATTGGAAATTTAAAAAAAAAACCTTTTAGTAAATTATAGACTACATTGAATAAAAAAAATGTTATCTGTATAAAATGAACAGGTTTAAGTGGTTCAACCAACAGAACCGATTAGAGTAGATTTTACTAAAGCATTCGTAAACTACGGCGTTAAATCGGACGAAAATCGAACAAAAACATCTAAAAATCATTATCAACTGACTTAAAATTATAGAACACTAAGACTGTTAATGAACATTACCTTAAGCTATTGTAGAAACGAGCACGAAAAGGGCACTGGTATTGTAGAAAATTAAGTTAATATAATATTACTTATTACCCATAATTATTGTATAGGCTAGATTGTAATTCATGTAAAATTTATTGTAGGAAAAAACTGACTTAAAAATTGATCAGATTGACGTGTGTTAAATCTCGTTTGTTTTTCCATAAATTGTGTCAAGTTTAAATAGATTATGCTCGGTTAACAGTGCTATAACACTGATTTTTAGTAAACTTTTTACATTTATAGATTCTAAATAAAATACTAGTCCTAGAATCCATTTTAAAAGATCAATAAAAGTAGTGTAAACATATTTGCCGAATGATGGAACTGCACAATGTATGCGCGCTCATGCATCGGAATAATTAATACACGGCAATCGGTGAAGTGTCAGGATACGAGCGTCTAAAACAAATATATGAATATTAAAGAGGATATTACTCTTCGTCAATCCGATATTGGTAATGAGGTAACTAAAACATTTTACTACCACGTAATTATTTCGGATATAACGTCTTTTCGATACGGATTTCATAGGTCTGGACTCTGGAATTGGGTTTTTAATGTTCAAACTGTCTTTACTAAGACATCATGGAACATTACGATCTAGCCTAATTTAAGACTAATAAATAATTTAAGTCTAACCAAATTTACTAATAAGGATTTTTAACATAAGAAAGTGTCCAATAACACTACTTACAGTCTCTATTAAAGGGAAGACAGTCTCTTCTTGTGTTCTATTTTTTTAGTCACCTTGTAGCACTTAATACTAACATGCACTAACACTAATTCACTAGTTCAAATGGTTTTGTCCTTTTCAGTCTTGTCTCTAGGCCCGTGGTGTCAAGGAGTTGAATAGCCTCGACATTCACGTGATGGTGGTGCCTATTTTCGTGGGCTCCAGCAGTCTTTTTTACTATCGTGGCGACGTCCTCTACAACGCAACGCATATAGTAAAGAGAATGTTTTAAGAAATTAGAGCTATTACTTTCTTATAATATATTTAACTCTCTCAAGGTAATCATTATTTTTAAAAACGATTATTGTATAGACGATATTTTTAGATAGATAAAGGTACACAAGGTAGGTTTTTTCGAATTTCTGAAGATTTTCGCTTATAACTTTTTTATTTATAGTTCTACGACAAAAAGTTACACGACCAAAGTTGTAGAGAATTTAATTTGCAACAAAAAATGTTAACAAATTTTTTTTATCAAATAATTTTTTTAAGAGATATATCGTAAATACCATTTCAACCACTATTTACAAGATGGCGGCCGTGGGACAAGGGTGGCGACCCCACAAACTTGTTTTTAGCTTTACACTGACCCCCCCTACACATCAAAAAAATAAAATTGCGTCCTCTAAAAAACGCAACCCCAAATATAACTTTTCAATGGACTAACATATTTTTTGGTACTTACAACATTGGGCAAATGGGCAAGAGACTCACTTGATGTTAAGTGATACCGCTGCCCATAGGCACTCAAATTGCCAGAGGGGTCGCAAATGCGTTGCCGGTCTTTTAAGAATTGGTGCACTATTATCCTGTGCGTGAAGCTTTTTAGGTGAAAACTTTTAATAATAACTAATTATTATTAATATAATTATAATTCCTATACTAATAATTCCGCCTTGTGTGTTTGTTAACGGGCCACAGAGGTAATAAGGCATCAGTTGAAAGCTATATCAGATTTAGTCAACCTGAGAAGAATGATTTTTCACATGTATTTCGTATTATAATTAGGTCAGAGTGTTATAATTTGTCATAAACTATCGCAGTGTATTAGATGCGCGGGCGCAGCCAGTTAATGCGAAGCCTGAGGCCTTCGTTTTTTGCCGAAGCACCCGAATCAGGCACCTTGGCCACAACAAATGTGCGGCCAATCCGGTAATTTATTTTTTTAGCCAATAAATAACTCATACGTCAAAACTTGGGACGTGCGCCCGCGCAAGTGATATATTGGATCTTGTCACAGAAGTGAACCTTTTACAGATTTTAATGCGCTTCTCGATTAATTAATAGTTTTTACCAGTTTGATCTTAAAAAATAGATAATGAGCGCGGCTTTGATGAATGCACTGGAAAAATAACATGAATGGTTTATTAAAAATTGGACTAAATATTATACTACCGTGTTCTATTACCGAGGTTACCATTCATTACATCGAAAAACCTCGCAACATGTTTTAAAAAAAATTTTTGATGAGCAAGGTTAAAAAGTCAGAACTACAGTTCTGTATTTTTAGAACTAGATTCTGCTTTTTCAGAACTAGAGATCTTAATTTTCTGAACTAGAATTATGCATGTTCAGAATTATTTATTCGTTACAATCAAAAAAACCAAGTCTTTCCTCTTTACTATATAAAGTTTAGATTACATATTAATTTTGCATTTAATTGTTAATTAATACAATTTCCTTGAAGATATTTCTACATGTTGGTAATTCTTTACGTGTCCAATTGTTTTGTATTATGCAACTTAAATAAATTTAAACGACAATGATTGTGATTCATGTTATGATTATTATCGGATTTACGTATATTGATAAATTTTCTAAGGGATTACAATCAAGGCTGCATTCCTTTGTTTGCTTAAAACTAGTTGGACAAGGGGTTGTCCTTTGTCGAAAAATAGTTTCAATTCTTATTATCTTAGAATCCATATCGTATTTCTCTAACTCGGTATACAATTCTTGCTAGCTAAATGTCTCATTCAGAGATATTTCGAAATTGGAAGAGAGTGGATGTAGACAGTGTAAGTTTTAATAAAACATTGAGGGTATTTAAAAAATATTATTTTATAAGTGTTAGTTTAACTTTTTTATTGTTACGTAAATGTTGATTGTCTGGAAGAACAGTTTTTTTTAGAAGTAAGACCGCCCATTTACATCCAATGTATTCATTAATTTTTTATTATCCAGTTTAGTGTTATTGTGACGTGAAGTGCTATTATTAAAGTAATAATGGAAGTTAATAAGCATTCTGGGCAGACAATCAATCAGAAATAAGCAGATTAATGTGTACATACACATACATAGTTCACTTGTCTATATTTTTAATAAATGTATGGAGAGAAGACTGTGTAGAGCACTATTCGTCTAGTTTAGCGTGCGACTGTGAAGTCGTTAGTTTGAATATTTATTGCACCAATCGATCGGCCTTTTTATGTGTGCAATTAACATTTTCTTTTACAGTGGAGTTAAACATCACTAGGAGAGCAGTGTTGGCCTAATGGCTTTATCGTGCGGCTCTCATCCCTGAGGTCGCAGTTTCGATTCCCGGCAGTGTACCAATGGACATTGTATCTATGTGCGCATTTAACATTCGCTCGAACGGTGAAGGAAAACATCGTGAGGAAACCGACATGTCTTAGACCCAAAAAGTCGACGGTGTGTGTCAGGTACAGGAGGTTGATCACCTACTTGCCTATTAAATTAACAAATGATCATGAAACAGATACAGAAATCTGAGGCCCAGACCTAAAAAGGTTGTAGCGCCATTGATTTTTTCTTTTTTTTTTAAACATCATGAGGAAACTTAAAAGGTATGTCTTAGACCCAATAAACAACGACTTGCAGATAATGATTATCATAATAATAATGCAGTGGCATTAGATCCCCTTATGGAACTCAGCGCTGGTACTTACTTCAAAAAGGCTTCACATTTTCATTTTATAGACATGTGACATCTGTGACATATTTAATACATCCGTCTTCACTGAGATATCATGAAACATTACGATATAACTTAACTTAAAACTAATAAGTAAATTAAGTCTAACTGATTTACTAATAAGGATCTGTGGAAAGTGTCCAATAACACTACGTACAATATCTATTAAGGGGAAGACACTGTTTGTGTGTCTATTTTTTCATACCAATGTTTAGCACTTAAAACTGATGAATAGATGTAATAAATAAAAGAAAAATTATCAAATGAACAGCTTAAGATTACACGGGCTCCAAGTAATCAGCAATGCTGGTGACACCAACTTAAAGCTTGCTAAGCTAAGGCCTTGGCCTATTTTTATGTTTTTTTTAACCTTTTTCTTTCTTTCTTTCAGTCTGAGACCAATATACAATTGCTATACATAAATATTAGACACAGTGTCTGCTGATTTACTGATGTTGTGATGTGCATCATTAAAAAATCTAGAAAGTTATCGAATAATGTAATCTATAATGTTTATTGACTTGACCTTAAGATAATTGGTGAGTATAAAAGACTTTCTAGGTTTTGGATATACAATTCTTTATTATGAATTGGTTAGTGTTGTGTGCTTGCCTGTTCGCAGGTGTGGCGGCCAACCTTGTCGAGCACAATGCTACTCCACCTAAAATAGGTAAGTTAAAATGATAATATAGGTCATAATTTAAATAACAATAAGTTCACAAATTCTAATTATATAAAATTAAACGTTAAAATTATTTAACGTTTACGGCGCGCCAAGCGATCCCGAGAACTCACTTTGACCATTAAAAAGAAGATAAGTTACTTGGGACATGTGCTTCGTCACCAACGGTACCGACTTCTTCAAGTCAACATAATAGATAGGCAAGGTCGAGGGGAAAAGACGCGCTGGCAGAAGGAGGAAGTCTTGGCTCCGCAATATCAGAGAATGGACGATCAGCGTAGAACAGCTGATGCGCTTGCCGAAGAATAAGAAGAAGTATGATGAGCTGATCGCTAACCTCCAGTAGTGGAGAGGCACTACAAGAAGAAGAAGAACGCAGTGTATTCGATGCGCGGGTGCAGTTAATGGGAGACTTTTTTGCCGGACATCAAGCACAACCAAGCTTTTCTTGTAACTGATAGACAAGTATTATTTTATTAGACTCGGCTCGTAACTTGGGCAGATTTTTCGCACGGAAAGTTTGCGTAAGCGCTTCGTAGAAGAACTCTGCTCATTGAATGATACTTGCCAACTCAATTGCCAAATTGGTTCATTTGATTTTAAGTAGTACCATTTGTCATAAACTGCTCACTCACCCATAATACTTATTTTATTCTAACTACTTTTTATTTACATTTAATATCTGCATAGCATTTTTTATAATTGCACGTTTGTCTTAGAATTAGAGACAGCTTCAACAGGGTACTTTAATCTTTATTTCTTTGCATTTTTATCAGTCTAAAATTGAGAACTACTAACGTTATACGAAATAATTTGACTGAATTAATTTTTCACAATGTTTCTGTATTTATGTTTTTTTTATATCGTGTACATCGAATGTCACATATTTAACTATCGAATAGAACAAAACGGCACAATAACTAGGAGTTTATTAGGCTTAGAGTCTCTTTATTACTTTGTAATGAAAGAAATTTAATAAAGTGTATGGTAATTGTTTTTTTGAAGCAAGATACAATGAGAAAAATGCGCTAAATATAACATACATTTAAAGGTCATGTTTCGCTTCAAAATTGAACCGTTCAATAATCAGTAGTATTATGACTAATAAACATTGATAACACGTTAATTATTGTGATCATTAATCGTCTTATTTATTGCAGCGGATGCTACATTCCTACAAAAACAAGTTGACCTTCTGTCCTTATATTTTCATATAAACGAACCCCTTCAAGAACCCAAACTAAAAGCCATTGCGCAGTCATGGTCTTTAACAAATAATATAGACAAATACAGTGTAAGTTTGACCACTATTTAAATTTGTTAGTATTTTATATGATTTTTGTATGAGAAAGTCCAATAACAATGTAATAACAGAATGTATTGCAATACTCCTTAGTGTAATTAAATTTAAAATATCCAAGTTTTCTATCTGTATCGCAATTAATCCTTTACAGAATGTCACCGCAATAAAAGTGTACTCAAATCTCATCGATTATGGCATGCTACTACCACGATCGGTGCCATTCCTTATCCTGGATCCAACTCACCAATTTGAAGCGGTCACATTGTTCAACGTCCTTCAATCCGCTAAGGATTACCAAACTTTATACAATACAGCTGTCCACCTACGAGATATCGTTAATGAAGGACTTTTTGTTTATGTCATGGCTGCAGCTACAGTGCATCATCCAGAAACCCAAGGAATTATTGTCCCACCTTTGTATGAAGTCTTCCCATCGTACTACCATAACGCTGAAGTCATGAACATTGCACATAGGGTTAACACACATGGTAAACGTTTGGTTGATCATTATCCTCAAACCTTTGCATGGGAAGACAATATGGTTATTCGATGGAACACAACAGTGTGGCCTTACCTTGGTAACAGCGATATTTCGACCTTCTATTACTCTCAAGACTATGCCTTGAACACACTTTACTATAACAACCATTTGACATACCCATTCTGGCTTAGCGGTCATAATGGTCCACTGATGAAGTATAAGCGAGGTGAATATTTCTGGTTTTTCAACAAACAATTGACCAACCGATACTATTTCGAAAGATTGTCCAATGGTTTGAGCGAAATTCCTGAGATTGGCTCTGATTTCGTGGATGAAGGATTTGCGAGTGGGCTTGTTTATCAAAATGGTATTCCATTCCCTATCAGACCCGATGAACTTCGTATTGATCAACCCAAATACTCGGAACTTCTTGAGAAAATAAAGACATATGAACGCCGTATTAGAGATGCTATTGAACTTGGCCATGTGGTTTCAGTAAGTTTTAAATTGTTGCATGTATTTAATAATATCAATTGTATCGTCCGCTGGTGAATATCTATCCTGATATTTGATTTAAAAAAAACATGCAGCAAAAAATTATGATTATATATTCAATTTGAGAAATAAAATTTAATTAATCATTTCTTATTGGTTAATTTAAGGTCTCTGGAGAGAAGATTAATTTAAGAACGCCTGAAGCTATAAATGTTCTCGGCAACATTATTGAAGGCAACGTTGATTCACCAAATTTAGATTTCTATGGTAGTCTTATTAACACCTGGAAGAGCCTCCTCGGAAACTCCATCATTCAAGGACATGTCTTCCACAAACAGTATGTTGAATATTCAGAAAAACTTATACAAACAATAACTTTCCTAACTTTGGATATACATTTGTTTTTAAATTAAAATGTTTCGTAGACACTCACGATTTTTACTCTTTTGAAACGTTTTTAAAATTTAAACATAAAAATATATACACTTCGTAATCTGTTGTATTTCCTTTATATTCCTCACATACTGGCGGTATGAGGAACTGAACTCAAGGTCTACCAGCTGTTTATACAGCCTCCTACTCTATCACCTCGAATGGTTACCCAGAAGCCATAGGCTAATAATATACATACTTCTAGGCACGTCCCCCTCGTCATACCAGCAGCTATCGAGAACTACCAGACTTGCATGAGGGACCCAGCCTTCTACATGATCTGGAAGCGAGCGCTGAACTTCTTCACTCTCTGGTCATCGTACCTGCCTTCTCACTCAGAGGAGATCCTGTCAGTCCCAACAGTTGTAATCAAGAAAGTGGAGTCTGACAAGCTCGTCACATACTTCGAGCATAAGTACTTGAATGTGACGAATGCATTGTACTTAAATGAACGTGAAAGTAAGATTTATTAATAACGTATTAATAACGAATTCTCGTAAGCAGGAACGGACACATTTTTGCGTCTACAATGGATAATTTTCGTAGTAGGCAATGAGGTCCACCTGTATTGTGCTTAATACAATTTTTGTTTTGCTGGGAATAGATATTTTACCAGCTATATTAGTAGTGAATTACAAGTTACGCTGGTATTATATACTTCAAAACATGAACTTTTTAGCTGATAGTATTTTGCTAGCAAATGCAAGCAATGCTAACACATTATTAAAAATCAATATTGTACTAAACGCGAGAAAATATCACATTCTTTTTTTAAATTAAAATTTTAATCGATCCAGAAATATAATTATTATAAATTCGTGTTCGAAACAATTAAAGAAAATTTTCGTTTATAAAATATAATTTCTTGTTAATTTTCATAAGGTAAGGTGGTAGAAGATGAGATCAGCGTTTTAGTCCAACAACCACAACTCACGAACAAGATCTTCACCATCCGAGTACACGTCAAGAGCGACGTTGCCAAGAAGGTGGTCGTACGATTTTTCCTCGCACCGAAATATGACAGCAATGGCTACGAGATACCATTACACCTGAACACGGAGAACGTCTTCCAATTGGATCAATTCGTTTATCAATGTTAGTACTTTTTAATTCTCTTGGCTACCATTCTGTATAGCAAAGACAAAAGAGTGTCCATACAGACATTCACACACAAACACACATAGTCTACATTTCACTCACGTATTTATATATAAGTTACGGAACAGCTGAGTCCCATAGCACAAGTATTGTATTTACTTACAAATTGTATATAATTATAGTTACTATATGGTATTACGAGCATACATTTTTGAAGTAGTATTAAAATGCTGGGATTTTGTATTTTAATTATCACATACATACTTACACATTTTTTATTAAATTATAAAGAATATATGATACATTTTGATATTGATTATTAATTTAATCATAAATTAAGTGGAAGAAATTTAATGTGTTCTTTACTTCACCAGCTTATTTGTTTCGCTATACGCTGTACAATCAAGACAAAAATTTATATTTACTATAGTATAAAGATATTCTTCTGGTTATATAAAACATAGTTACAACTGGGTGGTTGTTCGTGTCAATTTCAGTGCCAGAAGGAGAGCATGTTATCAAACGTGAGTCTACTGGAAATATGTACACCATTGACCAGTGGTACTCCAGCTACGAGGTCTACTTGAAGGCGCTCAATGCATTACAAGGAAAGGGTCAATTTGTCATTGACATGACGCAGTTCTTCGTTGGATACCCACGTAGACTGATGTTGCCTAAGGGTGAGTTAAATTATTTTCACGCAATTATTACTCTTAAGTCCATGAGTATAATTGCCAATATTGGTGTATCGCTTCACATTAAAAACTTTATTTCTCAAAAAGACAAAAAATTTCACTTACATGAGAATAATACTTTAGATTAACAAAACATTGTAGTCATTCTTAAAATAATCACATGTACATGCAATAAACTTTAAAATAAAAGTAACCAAAGAAATATGAATTAAAAGTAATTATAAGAAATGAATTTAAAAATAATCTCTAACATATTCACTTAGCTTTGATTTGAATGAATTGATAAAAGTAATATTTTTATATATTTGTGGGTAGTTTATTATACGGCTGTGCGCCTTCGTAGGTAAACTTTTTTTGCGTTGTTCGTACGTAGTTTAGGTAATGCAAGATAACTCGTTCACAACATATTGATGAGTGACGGATCTGTGTAGACGCCCTTTAAGAACTGCCTTGCGATTCTGTAACTCACTTTTCACACAAAACAATAAACTACTAGCTCCCTCCTTATCAGAATGCCAAATCGTAAAATGACCGCTTCACGACTGATTTGAGCGCGACCGCCGATGCGAAAACCGCTGTGCGAGTTCGAAAAGTGAGTTACAGAATCGCAAGGCTGTGCACTGGAGCAAATGCATATTTCAGGGAATTGTACCTTTAAATAAAACTGCCTGTAAACATATATAATTACTTTGTAGGGCGTGTCGGTGGTATGCCTTTCAATTTATTCGTGCATATTTCGGACTACGTGGCACCTGAGACACCATATGGCGAGGGTGTGAACCCTGAGCAGACCTTTGGCATTGGAACTGGAGCAAGACGCATGACAGGCTATCCACTTGGCTTCCCCTTCGACAGACCTCTCCATCAGTACCAAGTAGAAACATTAACCAACTTCCACGTCCACGATGTACTTATACACCACAAACCAACCCCGGAAATTGTTGTACCCCAGTAAATCATACTTTTATAATTGTACGCAAATATAACTTAAATTTTGATTTCAAGCAATCGTGTCTTGGTTAGTTAACTAAAGAAAATTTTACTGAAATGTTATAGGTACGTTATTCTATCTAATCTACGACAGGTATTTCAAATATAGAAACCGGACAAGTTAACATGGGTAATGGGTATATTGTATATATAAAATACTAGACATGCCAATTAGTCCATTCTGATTACCATTTTGATTTAAATTTATTTATTATTTGATATAATGGATTAAGAAGCGTTAACATAGATTGAATATGTATCCTTTACTAACATTACTTGGAAGAAAGAGACACTGTTCTTTATTAGTAATTATGTTATTGAGCCTTATTCTAACAAATGAGGTAAATATTTACCATGCTTATTCAACACCTCTAAGAAAAAACCGTTAAATTCCGCCAGGTTCCTTATTTCCTAAAGTAGTTTTCATTCTGTATTGTCTTTGACCATTCTTTGCGTCTATTTATATACTTAAAACTTTATATTTAAAACCATAGACATGTCATATAAGGTAGGTCTATTATATCTATTACTATACTCGTATATTTCGTAAATATGTTCTTCATAAAAGATTTTTGCCAACCAACATAATATATAGTCATTATATCCAGTTCTGTTAAAGCTACCAAAGATATATAAACCTTATAAAGATACCTAATTTATATTCAGCTATATGGATCTCACGCAATAACCCCATTCATAGTATAATACAAAACAAAATTGAACGTTCGGTTTGTTCGTTTTAAGTCCATATTTTAGTTCGTATATCTTAGGGTGCACAGACTATGTAACATATTATTAACTTGTGTTTTATAACACGTCCACTTATGTAACCTTGTTATTCAAATATAACATAAAACAATACTGTACACATTAGAATAACAATGCAATAAAATGTTATTAACCATTTTAAATAAAAGAAAAAAAAATGGGTTTAGATACATATTATTTAAAGTTTTATAGACATTAGTGTCCACATTATGTGAAACATGTTGATAGCAAAAGTTGTATAAATGTTATGTTATATAGTCTGACGCACTTAAACACACTATATATCAAACTTGAAAAAGGCTTTGACTTGGGGGGGGGGGGGGGGGGGGGGGGGAGGACCAGAGGACTACAAATAGGAGGAATAATTGAAGATTGAAAAAGAAATGTAAAATATATAACTACGACATACATTGTCATACAACTCTGAAACTAAACATATCTGTTTTCTACTGTTTTTTTCGTATGTGTATATAGTATTTATGTATTTATTTGTGTATTGTAGTATGTATTCTTAAATAATTATGTGTCGCTATATTTCTTGTTGTATTTGTTGCATATGTAATTAAAAGTTTTTGTTGTTGAAAATAAATTATTACATTTTATTTTGAGTTATTAGTATAATTACTCCTACTTAATTTTGTTATATTTTAAAAATAAGATTTGGTACTTTTTAATTCTGTGGAAATGTAAGCACGTTACGCCCTCTACAGCCATAAAAAACAATTTTATAACATAAAACTTGTAGAACGCCATCTAGTATATTATTCAGAAACTATCAACACTGGATTACAAATATCGCTTAAAACACACAATTTTTATAAGTGTCGCCATCTATAGTTAATAATAAGCATTTAAGCAATGTTACTTGAATCTTTATAATAGCGCCACCTAGTATACTATTATCTAACTACCAAAGCTACAAGTATGTAGATTTTACGAAACGTTGCAGAAATTGTAAAATTTTGTGAAGCGCTATCAATAATTATCAAGATATTGATTTTACCCGCGCGGCGCTCTGAATAGACACGTCACCACTTTGACATGTTACTGATATAATACTTATTTCCTAAGAAAATTGTGATATTTAAATTAAAACATAATCAACAACAATCATAATTGACATCTTACATTTAAAAAAAATATATTTTAAACAGGAAACTATTGTATTGTTTTACCCTTTAGGTATATATTCGTTTTTACATTATAATATATTATGATTGTTTGTTGAATAAGTACAGAATTGAAACCGACAGCGATGACCTCAGCTAGGATTACCTTCAGGCTGCACCATAGTCCATATATATATATTATTATAAATATATACATCTTAATTATAAAATAAATGTAGTCAGTTCTGGTACAGTTTGATTTTGCTTATTTCGCTCATGCTAAATTTATTTATTGAATCTAAGATTCCCAATTAACAAAGGTAGATGTCACTTTTCTTGAGCCCATAATTATATTGATCTTGTCCTGAAATAAAAATTTATCAAAAACAAATTCCTTTTAAAAAGGGTTAACAAACCATCTACTTATAAGGGACTAATCACGAAGTGGCGGCGCGAGTTTTAGATTTCTAATGAGACATTTCAATTCTATTCTTCTTATTTTATTTAACCAATTGGTAGCAAACCAATTCGAATCATTTGACACCTCGTTATTCCAGATTCGACCACGAAAAGAGGTGCTTTGCTTGAACATACAAACAATAAAAATTACTCGTCGACTTCATAACTTCCTTTGTTTATTTTAACTCGGTTAAAAAGACAGAAATCTAAGCTCAAATTGGATTTCACCGTAGTTCAAGTTTTGACACTGAATCTTACCCTAGAGAAACTAAAAAAAAAAGGGAGGGGGGGGGGGGGGGGGGGGGGGGGGGGGGGGGGGGGCGCCCCGGGGCGGGCGGGGGGAAAAAAAAAAACACACCCCCCCCCCCCCCCCCCCCCCCCCCCCCCCCCCCCCCCCCAAAAAAAAAAAAAAATTTGGGGGGGGGGGGGGGGGGGAAAAAAAAAAAAAAAAAGGGGGGGGGGGGGGGGAGAAAAAAAAAAAAAAGGGGGGGGTGCCTAGAGAAACTAAAAATTTATACCAGGATAATAATAATAATGGTTATAATAATGTAATAAATAGTTTCAAATCGTTGTTTTGATTGTCTGACAATTTTTTTTTGATAACAATTTTTTAATAATAAATCACGATCATTCGAAGTCCGATAAAGGTGGAGTCACCTTAATTATAACTTAACTGTGCCTGATCTTTGACATCAAAGTGATAATTTTGCATAGCAATACTTTTATTCGGATTATTTATAACAATTGTCAATGATACTGCATTTTATGAGTTTTGATGCAACTTATTGATATGGGCCGTTCAAGTATTACGTAAGAAGATTCATATTCTAACTAATTCCCCGACTATGTTGTCGTCGTAGGTATTAAATAACTTACTTATATATGTACAACTTAAGTAATTGGTATTAGTAACCCGGATGATTAAGCACTGCCTATTTCTGTTAACAATAGACCATATCTTCGTAGTAAGGCAAATCCTAGATAAAAGCAAATAATTTAATCATCAATGTACTTATGCTTTGCTGTTTATTATAAGGCATTTGACCCTCTGGAACTGGACTCTCTCAAGCATTGCAAAGTCAGGTTATAAACAATAAATATATAAAAATAATCAGGCATAAATATAAAAATGGAAAACCTAGAATAAAAATTAATTACTAAAATTACAATTTTTATTGAGCAAGTTCCACCCCTCTAAACTAAAATGGGCTGCTCAAAAAAAAAAAAAAAAAAAAAAAAAAAGAGAAAAAAAGGGAAAAAAAAAAAAAAGCAAAAGTAACTAGTTATAAAGGTGCAAGAGAGAGGAATGGGGAAAATGGAGGAGGCGAAAAAGCCTCGATACCTAAAGAGGATCCTAAAGATGGAAATGTGTTTAATTATCTGTTACTTTTATTCCCATAGCTTGATTTTCGACCAATTTCTGTGTTATCAATACATTGGACGGTCGGAATGTAACACCGTCTGCTTCCAAGAAATGTTATTAGACTAGTTAACAAGGAAGGCAAAACACTCATATTGTCCTGTAAGTGTTAAAGTCTAACCTCTCTTAACCTGTAAAGATACAAGGACAAAGAATCCTACCCTGATCTGTCAACATCTGGGTAATCAGTGCCGTTGGTTTTATTTGTTTAATTATCGAAAAGTCCGAAACAACATTTGGAAGGAATTCGACCACAGAGTTCAGAGTTGCAGCTTAAGCTAAATAGGCCAACACTGCTCAGTTATAGTAGCTTTACACTTATAGGCATCTAGCTGGTTTCCTCAACTTCGTCTGCGCAGGATTAAAATAATATTTGCCCAAATGATGAAGCGTGAAAGACATATTTTATCAACTTTAAATACCAGAAGCGATAAAAGTATCTATTTTCATTTAGGAATCAATTTATTACTACCAAATGTGCATTTGAAACAAATTATAAATTTTTATTGTAGTAATTGTATACATAAGACATATATACTGTGGCGTGCTCTTTTGTAGGACTATTTAAGATAATTGAGCAGTGTTGGCCTAGCGGCTTCAGCGTGCGACTTTCATCCTTGAGGTCGCAGGTTCGATCCCCGGCTGTGCACCAATGGACTTTCTTTCTATGTGCGCATTTTAAATTCGCTCGAACGGTGAAGGAAAACATCGTGAGGAAACCGGCTTGCCTTAGACCCAAAAAGTCGAAGGCGTGTGTCAGGCATTGGAGGCTGATCACCTACTTGCCTATTATATTCTAATGATCATGAGGTGCTTCAGAAATCGGAGGCCCTGACCTAAAGAGGTTGTAGCTCCACTGATTATTTTATTTAAGATAAACATTTCCATCTTAAACATAAACATTAAAAACATTACATATGTGTAACTCTAGCGGTTTTGGCAGCGCACGCCAAAATAGCTCGCAGATGGTGCATTTTTTCCTACTTACTTGATATTTTGGACAATTCACACAATATCTTTATAAATTGCGTATGAGTTATTCTGATGTATAAGCTATATTATTGTAAAATTTCATTTAAATCCATTCAGTAGTTTTTACGTGAAAGAGTAACAAACATCCATCCATATATAAACTATCGCATTTATAATATTAGTAGGATAAAGCTTTACGAGTGTCTGACATAAAATTAACAGTTTGAAAAAAGATTTTTTTGAAACAAATATATGAATCTAACCCCTCCCTGCACCTCTTGGAGACTACCTTGTTTGTGTCTAACAAGTAATTACATAAAAATTCCGATGACCACTTATGTCAATCAAATATTTGTTGTCGTTATTATTGATGATATGTAATTTCTAATTACTTCTATCGTTCTATTTGTTTTCAAACAATAATTGTTTACATATGCAATCAAGAAAATACTCTACAAACTGAACTATTTTAGCTATCTCTTTTCGTCGCAGCATGAACACAGTTTAACAGAAAGAGACAACTTTAGTTAAAGAGAATTAGACTCATTTAGTCTTTACGAATAATGGAGTCACATTTTATAAGATGACGATGTTTTTTATAATAAAACTGTCTTAATGAATGCTTGTTTGGCTATGGGTAGAATTTGGGTAAAAAGAAAAGTAAATGAAAGACAATTTAACAGTGACATATTTATATCTAATTTAATAAAGCGTTATATTGTAAGAAGGCACGGATAATTTTTTTCGCCAATTTACAATATAGCGAAATATATGAAATTCGAAATATAACTTATTCACATTGGTAACATAACATATTAAACAGTACATGATTACAATACATTATGTAACTTAAAAATATTATCTAAATTTACATTCACTCAAATCGAAATCGTAACTTTCCGCCACTATTTTTAAGTTTGTTTTTCAACTGCAAACATTAACACATTGCTTCAAATATATTGAACATATTATATCATAATTATGAAATAAAAATCGATTAGACTTTGTCATCAGTAACTATTATAATACAACTGTATAATTAATGAATTTTATTATTCTTAAGATTGAGCGTGTGGCTGTCATTCCTGAGGTCGTAGGTTCGAACGCTGGCGCACCAGTAGACTTTTCTTTCTATGTGCGCACCTAACACTTGCTTGGTACGTAGACACAGAAGTCTGATCATGTACATGTATATTAGAATTTTTTATCACTCTGAAAAAAACCTATGTACGTACACGTCGGGCTGGTGACGAAGAACATGCATCGACAAGTAATATTATGGAGAAGTAGAATTAATACTTAATTCTACTTCTCTCAAAGTATGAATTTAATTATTTGACACTTCATTACAAAAATCAATACAATTAGAATTAGATTACTTACTAAAGAACGCAACGAGCTTCTATTCGCGATATCTTTTTCGATCTAGCGAGCACAATTAAAGAGCTAATTGATACGTGAATCATGATAATAACTACATTATTTTAGAGAAAAATAACCCTTTAAACGAACCTTTACAAGTGGAATATTTAAAAAGTGAAAAGGCAATGTTCATTTAATTTTGTATAGCTAACAGTCGAACTCAGAGTCGTTTATTGAAAGTTAACTGTTACTTAAATAAAAACAATGTATTTCACTGCCCTTTCCATAAATAAGTAACTAATTGGGATTAAATTGCGTTTCCAACTACTTAATGAAATAACAGTACAAGAAATCCTCAGTACGTTGGTTCGCCTGATTATAATGTTTGGACTATACTAGAAGTATTTTCGATTGCAGTGGATCAATAAGTATTATTAAAAACCATTGTTTAATGTACACTTTCTCTGTGTTGACGGTCACCCCCATAATCGCCTGACCTCCCAAGAGGGTATCGATTGAGAACAATCCCAAATATTATTTGTTTGTACCTTATCAATAGTGATAACGTGCATTAATTTAGTATAAAAACTGCAGTGAGAAAGTAGTAAGGCACAGTTACCATTTGGTCTGGCAACAATGAAGACTGTCTTGGTTCTAGCAAGCTTGGTGGCCCTGGCTTTGGCCGGGAACATTGTGATTCCCCCTAAGCATGTCGACTGCGAAGTGAAGACTGGTAAGAATTTAATTAATAACTTGTAACTAACTTTAATTTCTTATAATTTCTTAAATTTAATTTAAAATCATTATTTTTTATATATATTCATTCAACTATTTCATCCTTTAAATTATATTAAATTACTTTTATAAAATAAATTTTGGTCGATTCAGTTATGCAGCTAAAATGTTTGGTTAGACTTAAATTTTATTATACAATTTTAAATTGCATTAAATTCGGTGCAGCAGTTTATTATCAAGATTGCAGAGAAGAACGCTTTCCATACTTTTTGGTGGTCAATTTATTTGGTCAATTTAAATGTTATAGATTTTTTAGCTTATTCTTTTTAAACCTAAAGAGATTTTATATAAAAAATAATAATTTCAGTTGATCAAGACTTCATTACGAAGCAAAAACAGATTTTCAAACTGTTCTACTATATTGGCCATGTCGACACTGAAGCCGAATACTACAAAACCGGAAAAGACTACGACATCGAGGAGCACGTCAGCGACTACACAGTAAGTAAAACTTTTTTAACCAATTCAGTACAGTTACCACAGTCTTTAAAGTTTAAATTTGGACGACTCATTGGTCTAGTGGTTAGTAGCCCTGACTGCGAATCCATGGGTCCCGGGTTCGATCCCGGCTGAGGCGAACATCGATGTGATGAGCATTTGGTGTTGTGCTTAGGTCTTGGGTGTTAAGATATGTATGTATATATCCATGTATGTATATATCCATTGCCTAGTACCCATAACACAAGCTTCACCAGCTTAGCATGGGACTCGGTCAATTGGTGTGAATTGTCTTTAAAAAAAAAAATTGCTGAAACACTTACTGCAATTGCAGCCACCTAAACTTACTTACCTAATGATTGGTACAGTTATTTATTTGATTTATTCTGTCCATAGATTCATATAACACATAATTTTATGTTCTCAGAACAAACAAGCCGTTGAGGAGTTCTTGAACTTATGGAAGGTTGGGTTCCTACCCAAAAACATCCCATTCTCAGTCTTCAACGACAGATCAAGGCAAGAGGCTGTAGCTCTATTCCATGTCTTGTACTACGCTAAGGACTTTGATGTCTTCTACAAGACCGCTTCCTTCGCCCGTGTCTACATGAACGAGGGTCAATTCCTCTACTCATGCTACATCGCTGTTCTCCACCGTCCCGACCTCAAGGGCATCGTTGTCCCTGCGCCGTACGAAACCAACCCTGAACTTTTCACCAACGAAGATGTCTGGTACAGAGTACACCGCATCAAGATGCAAAATGGAATTGACACCAACGACTTCGGACCTGAATACGGTGTATCCCACGAGGAGAACCGCTACGTTGTCTACGCTAACTACTCTGACAACTACGTATACGCTGATGGCGAAGACAAGATCTCTTACTTCACTGAAGATATTGGCCTTAACGCTTACTACTACTACTTCCACGTTTTCTTCCCCTTCTGGATGGAAAGCGAAGTCCAGCCCTTATTGAAGGAACACCGCGGAGAAGTGTACTACAACTTCTACCAACAACTCTTGGCTCGTTACTACTTGGAGCGTCTGTCCAGCGGTCTTGGAGAAATCCCTGACTACTCATGGAACCACCAGATTGAGGCTGGTTACAAACCATTCATGAAGTACTACTACAACTTCGCTCAAAGGCCCAGCTACTACCAGATCCCCTATGAAAAGCATATCAATGAATTGCAAGTCCTTAACACTTTCGAACAGACCTTCATCCAGTTCCTGCAACAAGGCCACTTCAAGGCTGTAAGTTAAACTATATGTCTTTTTATTCTATACTTAAGAAGAGGTGAGATGAACTAAGATATTGTATGCCTTTTTTAAAATAGTTCTTACTTATAAATAAGTCAATAAATAGTTTATAACTATAACAAAAGCTACACGATTTTAACATAAAAACATAATTTACAGTTCAACCAGGATGTTGACCTACGCAACTCAAAATCTGTTAACTTCGTCGGAAACTTCTGGCAAGGCAACGCCGATTTATTCACCAAAGTTGGACCATGGAACCACCCCTACTCCTACGAGGTTATTGCCCGTCATGTACTTAGTGGCGTCACTTCGAATTCTGGCAAGTAAGTACAAAAATATTTTGACTAATTATTAACTTTACTCATAGCTGGATTAGGGGATGAAAATACTACTTTATTTTTATTTTGGATAAAAACTTTAATTACTTTTATGTTTTTACAATTAAATGTACCGTTGATATGTCAGATACAGGATGTCACCATAAGCATTTTTTTAAAATTTTCTGATGTTAATAATCTTGTTCCAGATACGATTTCGTTCCTAGCTCTCTTGGTTTCTACCAGACATCTCTTCGTGACCCAGCCTTCTACCAGCTTTACAGCAGAATCATGAAATACTTCGTTGAGTTCAAGAAATCATTGACCCCATACACCCAAGACGCTCTCCACTACGTTGGAGTTAAGATTAACGACGTTAAGGTTAACAAATTGGTGACTTACTTCGACTTCTATGACTTTGAGGTTAGCAACGGTGTGTACTTCAGCAAGGAAGAGATGAAGAGCAGCAGATGGCCATACTACGTCGTCCGCCAACCCCGTCTTAACCACAAGCCATTCACCGTAAGCGTTGATGTGAAATCTGATGTCGAAGGAGAAGCTGTATTCAAGATCTTCCTCGGACCCAAATACGACGGTAAAGGTTACCCCATTGACTTGGAAGAGAACTGGCAAAACTTCGTCGAATTGGACTGGTTCGTGCAGAAACTCACCAAGGGACAGAACAAGATTGAACGTCAATCCACTGACTTCTTCTACACCAAGGATGACTCTACCCCAATCAGAGAAATTGTTGAGAAGTACCTTGCTGACGGTAAGGTACCCAGCGATATGTCAGTTAAGCCTGGTGCATACCCCCACAGGCTCTTGTTGCCTAAGGGTACAAGCGGTGGATTCCCCTACTGGATTTACGTTGTCGCTTACCCATACCAACCAGCCAACAAGCAAGTTGAAACCATCAGGGTATACGCTAATGACAACAAGCCTTTGGGCTACCCTCTTGACCGTCCTGTCAACTCTGTTTACTTCAAGCAACCCAACATGTTCTTCGAGGAAGTGAGAGTATACCATGAAGGAGAGATCTACCCTTACGAATACAATGTTCCCTACTACACCTACCACCACAACGAGGTGAGCCAACACTAAAAGGAGAGAGATAAATATGAGGTTTTAATTCAATTCATGTCATATAATGACTAAATGACCAAATGTTAATTTATATATAAATAAAAATATATTATTATTTAATACCAACTTTCATTTCTTTTTTCTTATAACTTACTACAGAAAATATCACGTTTAATACTAATTCTACTGTACTTTCGACGTAGGATGTCATTTTTTGGTTAACTTAAATGAGCTGAGAAGTAACCATTCACATCATTTGTACTTTTCTTATGATAAATGGAGACTTTGTTGAACGCATAGTTTTTAGCAGTTGATTCTTTGTTAATCTTAGCTTGTCTGTGGAAGGGAAAGCCTAAAGGCAAAGTATCATATTCTATATCACTAGTGTTACCAGCCATATCTTTCACAGGCACAATCATACTAAATACTGTCATATTCAATCCTTCCTCCAAACCTTTGGGAATTAATAAATTTTCTGGAAATTTGAATAGATCGAACTTATTCTTCTTCGAGAATGATTGTTCCATATTGTAATAATCATCATAGGAAAATTTACCTGACATTTCTGGGTTCCAACTGATTATGTTTAAACCCTTTTGAAATTTGTAAAGGAACGAATCAATTTCGAAAAATTTAGAGTGTTCTTGCCAACAGTATTTTGGTTCACATTCGGGTCCCAAAAATATCTTAAAGATACCGTTTTCATTAACTTTAGATTCGACGGTAATATTAAATGTAAATGGCAAGTGTCTGAGCCGTTTTTGCCTAGCTGTAAATAGTTTGGGAGGCTTTTTTGTTAGATAATCCTCGCTGTACAAAAATTTGTTTAAGCTGATTTGGTAATAGTCAAAATAGGTTGTTATCTTCGAGGAACTACTTTCAATTATGTTAAAGTCGTCACTCTCGTATTGGGAGAAGTCAAATGGCTGCAATGTGTTAGCATACTCTGTGAAGTATTTTAGTAGAGATTGAATCATTTGCCAATACAGGGGATCGCGTAAAGTAGTTTGCGGATTGTGAAGTACTGTAGGCGCTGGGTTATATCTGAAAGAATATAACAAAGTATCAATTATATATTATATGTTTTCATATAACAAATTAAAATTTTGTAGGGCTTTTATTATATTCTATATCATTTAGAGAAATATTTTCTATATAGTTCAATTCAGCGTTCAAATTCTCTACTTTCAGACAATAATATTGAAGTGATTACATATTACATATGTTACCTGTCACTCGGGTAGCTATTTGATCCGTAGCCAAATAGAGACTTAACAACTTTTGCCGTTTGTATTCCATCGAAATTAGCCCTTACTAATTTAGCTAATAAATCAATATAATTATCTTCGGTGAGTGCTGTCTTCGTTGCATTATCCTGAATTAGATTGAAATAATAAATTATTGGATACAGTGGTATACAGAATACTGCTAAATATTATTTGTTATCAGTATTACCATGTAAATAACCCCTCTTGAAATGCATTCCCTGATAGCGATGTCTATTGCTTTAATTCGAGCCTGCTGGTCATTCCACTGTGGTAGCACTGAAGATCTTGTTGGAAAGAAAAGACCATTGTCGTGAAGTAAGTAGGGGTTGAAATCTCTAAAGCAGTTGGATTCACTCGAAACATTCCGTACTCGGTAATGTTGTTTCTCCAGATGATACCGTGCCAGAAGCTGCCGGTGGATAAAATAATCCCGTTCTGCGTATCTTGCGTCAATACCAGACAGCTCGTCGTTGGTCATCCAAAATGGATATTGGAGGTGAACCCCATAGTAGTAGCTATTCAGTGCTATGTCTTCTCTGAAATAATCCAGGTTCTCCTCGCAACCTTCAGTTACCATATTCCAACTTGAATAGTTGGTGTTTATAACAACGAAATTGTCACCTGAATAAATTTGATTTACTTTGGCTGCTTGCGTTTCTGTCATGGAGTTTTCGTTCTTAAATTGTAGTGCCTTTATGATAGCGTCGCTGTTGATGTAGTAATTTGGTTTCGCAACAAATGGTGGGTCATTTTCTTTTGATGAAGCATCAATTCTGTATAATGAAGCTAGACGCCAGGCATAGTCGAACATGTCCTTGTTAACATTATCTCTGGCCCAATCACGAATCAAGAGTAGTTTATCGTTATCAGCATATTGGAATACACGGAACAAAGCAATGGTGGCTTCTCTCATACTATCATCGTAGATATTAAAGGTCAATCCTTTTATAGCATGGCCGGCATCTAGGTGGCCATAAAATACTTTAAAATTTTCATCCTCCTGAAAAATTCGAAACGATAAATAGAGTATTTCATAAATGTTAAAGAGAACAATGTTTTATTTTCTATAGCACACAAGTAATATATATTTTCTTTTATAACAGTGCTGTAAGGATATGTATGTTATAAATAAATAAAATAAACAAAGGTTTTTTATTACGCAGACTTTTATTTAACTATTTACCACTTACAAGAACAAGCAATCTCTGTATGTATTTATATAATTTGCCCAAATTGACTTATAACAGAGAAAATCAAGGACAGGTTGGGTAAAACGCTACAAATACCAACAACTCACCCGATTGACCAAATCTGTCAGCTGTAGTTTTACTTGGCCTGTGGATTTTGAAGAAACTGATCCAGGAATAATGAATTTTAATAACTGCTCGCTGTTTTTAAATAGTTCTAGAACAAAATAATCCATTGAACATTGGTAGGGTCTAGAAAAATAATTTGTTACGCTAAACTACGCCTTAGATACAAAACAAACGCATAATATTGAGAAGACATTTTTCAAAACCCGTGTGATATTAAAAAGATCATTACAAATCAAAATGAATAAGTATTCTCTAATATTGCCTTGTTCGACTCTTTGGCTAAGCATTCTGAGTTTACTGGAGTTGACGTTTAAAAGAAACAAACACTTTAATCATAATGGTCATACAGCGTGAATGCGTGAACGCGAAACGTCGAGACAAATTATAATATTCAAATATTTACTTAATAATAATAATCAGTGGCGCTACAACCTCTTTAGGTCTGGGCCTCAGATTTCTGAATCTGTTTCATGATCATTTTTCAATTTAATACGCAAGTAGGTGATCAGCCTCCAATGCCTGACACACGCCGTTTAGTACACCTACGTTTTGCGATGCGTCTAAGACATGTCTGGTCGTTCGTCGCTGGTGCACGATGTTTTCCTTCACAATGCGTTCGAATGAATGAGAAAGGAGAATCTGTCATGAAATAAATCAGAAAGAAGAACTGGATAGCTAATGACGTCACATAGAAAAAAAACATGGTGGCATTCAGCAAAGAAAGACTTGACAATTTCGGGATCGAATCAAATTTAATTAATTAATATCGACCTCACGGATGAGAGTGGTACGCATTCGCTGCGAAGCTCACTGCAGGCCAACTCTGCTAAACGCGTCGAGTAAAAAAAAAACCATTTTTGAAGAAACAAAAAAAAAAAAAAAAAAAAACAAAAAAACTACAAAAAAAAAAAAAAGAGAAAAACAAAACAAATGTGAAACGTTGCCATACAATATTTATTCGTCGTTTCGCTGCCGCTTGATTGCGTAGGTGTACTCTAAGACAGCGGTTTCTCAATTTCACGTGATAAAATACCAAAAAAAAAAAAGGGGTAATGTGTTAACATAATATAAAATATTTTACCTCCTTCGCCCAAAATGTCAGACAATTCCATAGATTTACTTGGGGCTGGCACTGTCAATATTTGCCCCAGGAAAAACAACCAAAGGAACATTTTGAATAGAGGCTTCCACATGACTATAATCACAACTGACACTAAAAATAGTTAGCAAGTCTTATATGTAACTGAACGTGTTAGTTTCCCTACGTCCAATTGAAATCCTGGGGTCACTAATGAATACTCGTCGTACAATCGCAGACAGAACGAGCGAAATATAGGCTATTTATCGAGAGTAATCCTAAAACCTTCCTTAAAAAACATATAATTAAAATTTAATTACTAAAATTAATTGTTTCTATTTAGTTTTAGTTTTTACTGATTGTCTGAGCTTTTTCCTTGATATTTTGTAATTTATATGTTCTAAGATAGATGAGTTAAATTTGGATGTTATATTACTTGTAGCTTTGAAGTGCATTATTGCTCGAGCACTTATTTTTAAGCTATTGCATAGATTTTATCGCGGGCTTTGAGCGCGGCGACCGATACAATAAATTCCGTAACGAAAAAACCTAACACACGATGACGTAATATAGGTGCGGCAAATACGCGTTAAAGTGAGACAGGCTATATAGGCGTTTAAGTCTGAGTCTGGGAGAGTGGTAGATTGAAATAATATCAAAGAAATAACTTGAAATAATATCAAAGAAAAACAAATACTTCATAAATAAAAAATTATTAAATAATAATTATAACTCCATAAGTTGATAAAAAATGCTATGCAATAGCTTTACCGCTGCAGTCCCCGAGTGCCACACGTTTTTTTTTATAAACTGACGTACACCACATCATATAATGCATTTTCTACAGTATATGTTACAACCTATCTATTCTAAAATACATGACAATTATGGTGAACATAAATTAAAAAAAGCGTCCCCTATTAAGTTGTTTAGTAAATAATTTATATAAAAATCGGTAACAAAAATATTGATTTTTAATTTGTCCTACACGTGACTAATTAATTGACAATAATGTAGCTTGTAAATAACTCTCCGAGTTTAATTTCGTCAGAGACTGTTCTTAATATAATATGTGTTTCAAATGATATCACGTAATACTTGACGTTTCTTTACTTGTCTACAAGCATGGTACGTTATAAGGACTGGTGCGACGCCATCTTGTCTCACGTTTTTGGCGGGTTCTTGAAATTATGAATACGAAACAGAATTAAAAAAAAATTATAAGTTCTACAGTCACTAATAAATAATCTGAAATGATTTTAAAACCTTCAAAATAGCCTATTGCATAATAAACAAAATATTAAACCTCAGATTTCTGTATCTATTTCATGATCCTTTGTCAATCTAATTGCATCCTGTCTAGCAAGTCGGTTTTGTTTAACCGTGCGAGCGAATGCTATATTGGCACATAGACAGAAAATCCATTGGTGCACAGCTGGGGATCGAACCCACGACCTCATGAATGAGAGTTTCTGAAGCCACTAGGCCAACACTGGTCCCCTTTATATATTACACAATACACTTTATATACATAAATATAATGTGTTAAAATTTTGCTCTTCATAGTACAAACGTATATTCTCTTAGGAAACAAAATCTAAATGGACAATTTTCCAATTGTACCTCAGGTCTAATTTTGGTCCTGTGGTAATTCCTCGTTTATAAGCGCTATTACGCGATACAAGACTTGATTGAATGTTTTATTTTGAACTAAAGACGACACGGTAGACACATAAGTATTAATACTTAACTATTTTTTTAATCACACAAGACTTGGTACACTAGATGGCGCACCAAGCTGTTTTTGGGTCAATCCCAACGAATTAAAATAGATATCTTTATTTAATTTTATGTATTATTTATAAAAAATATCTGACCAAACCACGTTAGATTTTTCGATAATTGTATTATTGAGAATCGAACTCTAGACAATCGGTTAGGTATCATTATCTTAACCATTGAGGCAGAAGCGGTTTCAAACAAAGTATAACAACTTACTAATCATCACAATTTAAACTTAAAGGAATAAAAACACATAACAACAATATAAATTAATTTATTTAAAAATGTAAAAAAAAACATTTTTATATGCAGAGTGAAAAGGTGTAACAAAGTTGTAATGTCTTGATGCGTTATAAATATTAGCAGGTAAACGTTTTAAAAAATTATTCAAGAATAATTCAAAAAACGAATTTGCCTATCTATAAGATAGAGAATGTGATAAAGTGCATGCTAATACCGCATTTAATGTTTGTACTACAAGACTTAGTTTAAAATAATAACTTAACTAAATACTCTATTTGTATAATTTAGTCGCCAGTCATCATCTCCATGAACTCTGTAAACAGAAAAAGAATAGTTAAAACTACGCAAAAATAATGTAAAATAGTTTTTATTAGTCATAGTTTAAACTAAAAACAAATGAGAAAGATCTCTGTGTGTTGTCTAAATTCTATAGAGACTGGCCATTCACGAAGATACACTTCTATTCTCTATTCAATAACTCTCATGCTCCATTAGATGCCACAAGATTTATGTGCGTGCTTAATCTCAATAAAGCTTTTGAATGCACCCCGGATTATTATTTTTTTACATTTACTCTTTTACACATTATCTATGCTTGCTCTATTACCCACACATTGTCTATGCTTGAAAACTAAATGCATTTCCGAGGATTCCAAAAAAAATAATACATTTATGTACTTATATAACGTGCTTACTTTTGCTGACAAGAGGAACCCGTTCCTATAGGGGGGGATTAATTGCTGTAAACCTGCTTACTTGAGAGGGCATATGATCAGTTTAAACCCTTGTAATCACTTGTATTTTTATAAAACGGGGGGCAAACGGGCAGATGACACTCTCAATGCTAGAGGGCTTGCGAGTATGTTGCCGGCCTTTTAGTCATGTCTTAATAGTATTAAAATATTGCATTACCATCAAAGTCTACAGTTCCCGAGCCGTCTGTATCAATCTCAGCAATGATGCCATCAAGATCCGAACTGCTAAGTTTGTCATCTAACGCGGCCAAGATCTCCTTCAGTGTTGATGTGGTGATGTAACCGTTACCTTCACGGTCATACAATCTGCAATTTATAAATTTATCATACAAGGGTTTTATACATATGCTATGTATGTATGCTCTTTCAATGCAGAGGAATCAGTCACCCACGTAGTCCTGGAATGCGAGGCTGTGGCTAAACAACGTACAGAAATCCTCGGAACAATGAGGTCGCTCCGTGAAGCCTGCGAAGTGCCCAGGAAGCTTCTGTGCTTTTGGAAGGAGTTAGGCTGGCTTAGTTAGCCAGGACTTTACGCACAACGGACCTATTGAGAGTCTAAGTGTGGAAACTGAGTCCACAAACCATAACCATAACCATACATATGCTCTGGCTAAGGTAAGATAAGGAGTCGACATTAGGCGCGAAAAAATATATTTGTATGTAAAAATATGAATTTTGGCAACGCTAGGTCTCAACTCTGATAAGTATTAAAATATTCTATGTATTGTTTATGGATCTGGATATCCGAAAGCTGTATCCAGGATGCTACCTTCCCTCGGTAGAATAATATGCGAACCTTTGCACTGATTGAACCCACACTATACAAACTTTTTAAATTATTAAGATCCATGCTGGCGTAGGATACACCACCATTGATGGTAAGTTAGTCTTATTCTATTTGATTTTCTTTTACTCTTCTTAAGTGAAATAATATTATTTATGGAAGGGAGATTGCCTTTGTCCTTCCAAAATCATACCAAATAATTTACGACCTATTTACTACACCATTTAGCTAACATATTATTTAACTATAAGAACAAACTTTTAGTATATAAATATTATGAATGAATCAAATATGTTTTTGCATTTATACCAACTAATAGTTTTTGGTTCAATTGAAGGTACACGATAATGACCGTGCTTTGGATTTTTTTTTTATATAACAGAGGGAAAACGGGAGATTATGATGTTAAGTTACACCGGCCCTATAAATCCAACTTTCCAAATGTTTCAGCTTTAGAATTAATACCTTTCTTGAGCCTCAAGTTGAATTGGTTCGGAAAAAAAATTATATTCTACTTGTCTCACCTGAAGGCTTCTTTCAGCTCCTGTTGCATGGCTTCTGCGTCCTCCTCTTCCAGGAAGTGGGATGCAATGTTGCAGAATCCATCGAAGTTGATTTTGCCAGTGTCTGAAATATCAGTTGGATTTTTAGGAAGGAATTAACAATCTTTATATGAATAAAAATAAAATATATTATATGTAATGTCCTCTAACAACGTTATACAATAAAAAAAATGAATCTCCGTTTGATCATCAGTATTTCTTAGTAGGTAAAGATTTCTTCAAAATGTTGTCTAAATCTTTCAGATAAAGTCATAAATCATTTAATGACAAGTAAGGATTTAGTCTCTTAAAATGGTTTTCTTCCTCTCCGCAAAACCTATACATTTATAAAGTTATAGTTTTGTATGCAAATAATAATAATAAATAACAAATAAAATAAAATATGTTTGCCATTAAAATGCTATGCATCCGTAAAATAGGCTATACGTAGGTAACACTGAAAATTTTTAGAAAATGAAAAACCGCTTAATGTAGCAAGTTGCCAATACTTTTATAGTTTTTCGAAGTATTCTCCGTTCCTCTCTACACATCGTCCCATTCGTTGGAACCACTGAGAAAAGCAGTGAGCCCATTCTTCCTTAGGGGTCTCTGGTCAAGCGAATACCTCGAATTGTATCTTTAGTTTTGGGTTCGTAGCAATATATCCAGCTTTCATCACCTGTGACGATGTCAAATACAGCATTTGAGTCACCGCCGTAGAACTTATCTAACATTTGGTGACACCCGTCCATGCGAAGGTGTTTCTGGTCGTCGGTTAAAGTATGGGGAATCCATCTGGTACATAGCTTCCTGACGCCTAAACGTTCGTGTAATATTTTTTTAATTTGACTCATACCATTGATTAGGCTTGCCCGTATCTGCTGATAGGTCACTCTTTTATCTTCTTCTATCATGCGTCGCACAGCACTGTTATTATCTTCAGTAGTCGCTGTTAAAGGACGTCCCTCACGCGGATCATTATTGAGATTGCTACGTCCACGCTTAAACTCGTTAAACCAATTGTAAATAGTGGCACGAGATGAGGCTTCATTAAGAAATGAATCGCAGCCTATCATAGCTATGTTGTTGAGTAAGCCCACACCGAAAGTCATAATAAATCATTGACCAAAAATTTACTCGCGTTAGGTTCATTTTCACGTGTAACAATAGTTTTAGATTTGCCGCCAATTCACAAAAACAAATGACAAATGTATGCAATGTACATTAGGTTACCAAAGAGTTCTAAAATTAAAATTAAAAAAAAAGTTTTCATTAGCAATGTTTCTAACTGGCCAATTCTAAACATTTTCAGTGTTACCTACGTATTTTCAAAAGACTAAACAGTCAGGCCGTGCAAAATAGTAATACATATGTGTAGATTCACTATAAACGCCACTGGAATCAAACTATTTTTCCAATGACACAGTATTAATAGGTGTTAGTTAATAAATAATTTTAAAAAAATCAATGGCGCTACAACCTTCAGGTCTGTGCCTCAGATTTTTGTATCTGTTTCGTGATTATTTCTTTTTTCTAATAGGACTTTCGATCAAATCTTCTGCGCCGTCGACTTTTTGGGTCTAATGCGATTTCCTTACCCGTACGAGTGAGAGTTACTGCGCACATAAAAAGTACTTCCTCAGGGATGACAGTCGCTAAAGCCACTTGGCCAACACTGTTTTGTATTAAATTGAAAATAATACCCTTGCTTATGACTAGATGATGATGATAAAGACAAGAGAAAATAAAACGTTATAACCAAATTAAAGTTTTACGCATATTTCAATTTGTTTAGCAACTGTTCCGGAATTTTATTTTAGAGCAAAGAGCTGTCAAATGCGCAAGAATATATTTTAATATAATAAATATCGCTTCAAAGAGACGTCAATTGATTAGTTCTAAATATTGTGACATGCAGTTTCACTGCGCAATGGAATCTTGACAAGCTAGCTAGGCCGAGAAGCCAAAATAATCTTTATAACGGATTAATAAATATTGATACACCACATTCAGTGAACTGTAAATGTTTTGACTTGAATATTTTTAGGTCTTTAGGCTTATTCTACTCATTATTCGTTTTGATAAAAATATAAATATATGTTAGAAAAGGATTTAAAACTTTATCATTGAATAAATAAAAATCTATATTGGGAAAATTTATAAATCACTAGCAGACCGGCCAAGCGTTGCTGTGTCTAAGGTTTTTGTTATATCACATAATGGTAAACTATTCAAGGGAAACGGTAGGAGAACACCAGTCATGGGGACCACCAAGCTTTTTTGGTTGTTATGCCATTGTAGCTTATGTGAAACATTGGTACTTTCAACACAGCGCCATCTGTTAGAATTGTGACTATCAAATAATTAACAAATATTCTGCAATAAAATAATATTGCGGGTATAAATTGAGATGTAAGCTATCCTATCCTTTTAAGTTCGATCAAACTACACACGGTGTGCAAATTTGATTGAAATCGGTTCAGTAGTTTAGGAGTCCATAGCGGACAAACAAGGTGACACGTAATTTATATATATTAAGATAGGATGTATTCATAGTATGGCGAAGGAGCTTCAAATTTGAGGGACCCGTAGCATTTGCTACGAAACTTCAAATCCGCTATTGTCTAGTCATTTGCTCAGTACCAATAAAAATTGTTTAAATATTGATTATGTTAATTAGAGTTAATTTTAATAAAGTTATAAAAAATATGTACTCACTGTCAGGGTCATTTTCATCAATTAAGGCCTGAAGTTCTGAGTCATCAAAAAGCTGACCCATTGTGTTCAAAATGGTTGAAATCTTCAGGACCTCAATGTAACCAGTCTTTGTTGTGTCGAACATTTGGAAGGCTTTGCGAAGCATCGCCATTTTCTGTTCGTCATCTGAGTCCTATAAATTAATTAATCGTTATAATCTATTTAAAAGAAAAAATATTGGTCTGTGTAGAGATTGTTTGAATTTGAAAAAAAGAATTTGATAAAGGAAAACGCCGGTTTCTTATTTGAAAAAGGAACGTTTGTATTGTAATTCAAACAGGAGTAACAATTTATGCTGTTTAAATTGATTCTTATTTTAAAACTAATTTATGATTTCTTTTGCGTCTTATTTTTAACAAACTAAATACGAATTATATATATTCCATTGACATTTATGTTAAATCTCTATCTAAAAAACTCCTTCTATTTCCTTAATCACAAACTCAAACAGGTATTAAATCCAAATTCAAACACTTCACTTCACATTCACTATTCTGCTCACCATTGTAATAAGGATTAAAACTGCCGGTACACGAACCGAATCCGAGTGCGGGTGCTATTACACTGAAATTCACAACCACTCGCAACACTTATTTATAGACCGTCGAAACGAAAATAAGTAAAAAACGTCCCAAAGAGATGACGTGTGCGGCGTCATCGCGGAAACGTAAGAAATAATGCATCCTCGGGGAATCAGTTTGTCATATAATTTATCGCTTAAAATTCGTTGGCAACACGCCATACCGTTCACGGGTAAATTTGGGGGCTATAGCTTTAATTGCTATAAATTTATTTATTGTGTACATTACGAAAAATGATTTGTAGAGACAAAAATAATCGAATAGACGGGAAAAATTAACTAAAATCCCAATCTAAATAAATAAAAATTAAACGCTAAACACATTTCACTATTTTTACTTGATGATAACAAACAGAAGGTACTACCAACTTGAAACAGGTATTCTTTTGCCAGGAATCAAACCCGTGCGTGTTATATACCAAAGGCAAATAAAGATGAATATTGATTTTTGTATGGAGATGATTAACTTCGTTATCTAAAATATTATAGTATCATAGTTTCGTTAAAATCATTATAATTTACTAACGTCCGCCCGAAGCTTAGATTTCGTGTATTTTGGCACGATATCTGACCTCTTTAACATCAATTTACTTCAGTAAATTTACATAAAACCATAATAAATTATACATTTAAACCTTCCTCGGAAATCACAATATCTACTGGTGTCTGCTAGTTTTTAAGTTTATCGCGTTCATACATACAGATATATGTGGCCGAGGACTTCATTTATAATATGTAACGATTTGGGTAATTCTACGATAAGAGGCAATCTATTTAAAAGTGTTTTTTTAAATCTATGCGTTGCTATTTTGTGCAATGAATCACATCACTTTAATATCCTTTATTAAATAACATTTCAATTAAATGTCCTAGTAAAGCATTTTTTTGTAAAAATCGTTATAAAGTCTAAAAAAGTCTCTACCCTGGCCTGTCCTATAATCGGTTTGAGCTTAACTAGCATACAATACATTATTCGTATTATTTGCTAAAAAAAATAACCACGAATTTAAGTAAATATAAAATAACTAGTGGACCCCACAGACGTTGTCCTGCATGATATTTAAAGCGATTAGGATATTAAGCAAAGTATGAAAGTAACTGCAGTGCCATCTGCCGGGCTGATTCTGTGTAAAAAACTTTCCCGTTCCCCTTGGAACACCCCAAAAAATTTCATCAAATGCTTCAGTGTTTGAGAGGAGTTCTTTCACATACACACAAAAAAATTCACAAATCTGCTTATTTTAAACTTTTTTCAAACTTAATTGTTGTCCCGCTTTTTGCGTATCTATCCTATTTTTGTATATATACAAAATTTGTCAAAGTGGAACAATGAGCTTGTTTTGGAAAGAAACAGATATGCTGGGTTTCAGAGTCATCGGAGTAATTATTATCATTTAATCAACAAAAAAAAATATAAGTGCATACAACATTGTCTTAGTAGAAAAGGTAATTGAATTAACAAAGCCAGTATCGGTTCAATGGTATGATTAATAAATTAACAAACGCATATATTTTACTATCTTAAAAAAAACTAATTTTAATACAATATAGTGTACTTATTCTATTCATACATGTAAATAATTCAATTTTAAATTACACCATATAACTCCAGATCATAAATCTCGGGGGACGTTATTTAGCCAATCATAATTTTATTTGATAGCCCATTTTACTCGCAGTGTACTCTTCAAAAAACCAAAACCCACTTTTTATCATATTTGGATACTACATTGACTAAATATTACGGCTACATTAAAAAAAATCCATGTGTTTTAAATTTCAAATTAATCAGTCGGTAAGGTGACGGATTTGATAGAAGCATAGATTTCTAGAAAACTGTGTAATTTAATGTTATTATTTTTATTTTATTTCAAAACAAACCCTTTTGTTTGGTTGTATGCCATTTTTTATAATAACAGCGTTGCGATTCTGTAACTCACTTTTCGAACTAACACAGCGGTTTTCACAGCGGCGATCTGATAAGGAGGCAAGCTTGTAGTTTATTGTTTATTAGAATGCCAAATCGTAAAATGACTGCTTCACGACTGATTTGAGCGCGACCGCCACTGTGAAAACCGCTGTGAGAGTTCGAAAAGTGAGTTACAGAATCGCAAGGCTGAATATGAATTAAAATATTTATGACAAAAACTAACATGATTTTATTATTTTGAAATGGCTGCCCTATAAAGTTTACTATTTGTCAGATCCGTCACTATTCTACGACTATGGTGAAATATTAATTAAATCATTTAGTCTTGTTACAAATTTAGTTTAGGTATAAATGCAGATATGCCACGTTAAGAGCTATCCATCCTTGATAGTTTATAGAATTGTGTAAACGATCGGATACTTCGGCATAAACACCATTCTACGCATCGCCAATGATAGATTGTGTTGTAATTCGTAAACACTCGCCGTCGACCGTGAATTCATATGTATTTTAGGTAGAGGAAACTTTTAAATAACTGTATGGGAAGTTATACCGTCAAAATAAAAGTATATTTTCAATTATTTCAAGTAAAATTGACTACGATTGCTTCCAAATCTCTAAACGTCGATAGTTAATTATGACGATTGCAAAATGTTTAAGGCAACATAGGACATTACTAGATCTTACTGGAACTATGGTTGTTTTTTATAGCACAAATAGCCACATATGGATACTCTTAATGCCAGAGGGCTCTCGAGTGCGTTGCCCACCTTATAGGAATTGGTACGCTCTTTCCTTGAAGGACCCTAAGTCAAATTGGTTCAGAAATACTTCAGTGGGTAACTGGTTCCCCTTAGTGGTGGTGCCTTAAAAAACTCAGTTGTAGAACGACGGACGTCGAGGTGATATAATGTCGTTTTATTTAAACACATGTAAATCAGGATGACTTAAGTAAGTAAATTAAGTATTACGATACGTTTAGATTACTTATATTATGGCAACAAGATAAATTTTAAAACGGAGTTTTCTATTGCTAAAAATGAGTTAAAGATATTTTTTCTATTACTTTATTTTTTAACAATGCATCTTATCAATAAATGTTACTTAAGATCTCTTTAAGGAAAATTATTGCTATGCTTGTGATAGTAGATTTCAGCCAATCATCTGTGACAGTGAATAAAGATTTTTATATATTTGACGAATATTTAAATGATCCTAATCCATGGGATTGATTTTCTCCAGTTCAAACAATTTGTATGACTCAAAACTTAGCGATTAAAAAGATTGGCGGTAAGTTTCTTGCCAGATCTTCTTGCCCGCTCTACTTACTTACTACTTGCGAACTAGTAGTAAATGTAATTTACCAATTAATTTAACTTATTTTTTGACGTTCATAAGTGTACTTGTTTACCTATATGAATAAAGTTATTTTCAGTTTGAGTTTGAGTAACGAAGATTGTAAACAAGTAATATGAACAACACTTAGACAATATCCAAAGCCAAAACAGATTACATAGATAAACAATATATGTGAAACAGAAAACATAAGTAAGTTCATTAATAGACAAAAAGAAAAAAATTAAAGAAAACTGAAATATTACATTAAACAAACGACAATTAATACTTAATATTTCAAAGAAAAAACTAAATCGTTACTGCTAAACAAAGTCAAAGTCTTCCCGCCTCTTCAAATATTTCCTCACATCCTCTTTGGTGAGGTGGAAAATATCAACATCCTCAAAATTAGTGTCATAGTTAGCTTAAGCCCGAATTGGCGAATTATGCAGATAATTCGTGATCCTACGAATCACATGGAACAATGTGAGTATCTTGTCGCATACGGTGGAGGAATTCGTAGAGGAATTAATGACAGCAAATAGGTTTTAATTTGTTTATTAATTGAGCTATACATGAGACTGAGCTTATTGTAAATGTAAATTTAGAACTAATTTAACTTCTTTTCTGACATTCATAAGTGTACTTGTTTACCTATATGAATAAAGTTATTTCAAGTTTGAGTTTGCCTTCAGGATGTAATTACCAAAATATTTATTCAAACACAGGACTAACATTAAAATACGTCGCAAAAGTCGCGATTCAAAGGCAACAAAACGCTTTTTACTAACTAATTTTTACGAAGAGATTTTTTAAGTGGTGTAACCTTCATGTGTGTTGATTTTTGTCACTAAAACATATGAAAGAAAACAGGCGCTTCCTTACAGATTGGGGACAGGAAGTTCGAAAATAAGGGACAGTTCAGTGAAAGCCAAATATCATATGGCATCTCCGGAGTACATGAAAATTTTTAACAAACAATAATTGATACTTAGTATAGGAATCAATCATAAGTGTAAAATGATTCCACTGATCATGGTATTGTGTTAAAGTTTGTACATTAGAAGATCTTTTTAGACAAGCTCTGTCCATATGGTAAAGCTTGCGATTTTTAAACCAGAAGTCGCTTTCAAATTCAAGCTGTCCAAGTATGGATTGAATTTAGTGCGCATACGCATACTTAGGAATGCATGTCCTAGAGACATAGAAGGCGTTTGGCAGACTCACGAGGCTGATCAATCTAGGCAAACAGTTAAAGAAAATTGTCAAGGAAACACATACCGAAAGCTTTGCTTCACACACGGAAGCAAGAGTAGCCCCAAGCTATTTTTTCATTAACAAAGTAAGAAATCGAGAGTGAATTAAACTGATTATAACAAATCTCATTAATTAACTTGCGACAAAGGCATATTACAATTTTAATGATCACTTACGGTTGCCAAAATGTCATGAACATTGACACTAATGTGGATTCTGAAAATATATCAATTGTCGCTCTGGCAGATTAGGAAAACGTTAAGAAATGCGTCACCGTTAGCTACTGGCGCGTGCAACGAGTTATACGGCGTCTGCGCAGATATAGATCGTCATTCGTCGGTGATCGACTATAATTTTTGTGTGGTTTAGACAATGTGTTGAGCCCTCTCGCCCACGTGGCTCGCGAAATTCTCAGTGACCTACTTTTTGGCACGTTTCATGGAATTATTTTTCATTGTTCTTATTTCTAGTGTAAAGTAAATGAGTTTTAGATAAGTTTAATTTTTTATGTCTTGATAACATTTTTTTTTATAATATTATTTTTGTATTAAAAGTTGTCACCATAAATATAAATTTTATCTAATAATACATCTTAAATAACGTACGTATTAGTTAAGACCATTGTTAAATCATATAATTGATAAATAACATATCTTAACATCTAATTGGTCAGATTCTCAACATTATTTCTGTTGTTTTGTAAGCTAAAAACAGCCATTTATTATTATCGGTTTCTCGTGTCAATGTGTGACAGTTGTCGGATCACAACATGATTTATGTCTGTCATTGACAATTGACATATCGGCTTATGCCACCAAATATAAACCATTAGAGATATGCGGAAAACTTTGGCTCCATTAAAGCTATTTCTGAATGTGAGTTATAAGTTATTTATATCGTGCGTTAATATAACTGTTTGTGAGATAATATTCCATGATTTAATTCACAATCATTCATCTAATTGTTATGTACAATTTGGTTTTTGTATCTATGTGCGTTCTATCTATCTCATTGTAAGGTCTGGTGTTGACGTAAAGGCCTGATGAAATTCTCGGCTAAAGAAATGCCTGTACAGTACAGTGCTGGGCCTAATGATATGCCTGTATGATAGTACTGATTTAACAATTCTCCTTGCAGGGATTGTGGAAGTGGGAATTCTATCTTCGGTCTTCCAAATTTAGTTTTAATAATGGATATTTTTAAACTAATAACAACAAGAAAGATGCTGTCTCGTCTAACATCCGCAAAGTAATTGGTAGCATCCGCTTCGAAATTCAAAATAAACGAACATATTTTATATTGTAAATTCCGAAATGCAGCATAACCATTTCTATATATATTCTAAATGACTCAGGCCAATATAAATGGATGGCAATTTAAATATTCTATTCAAGGTGCCAAATGAATATAATCTATAGTCCACAAACATTACAATGTTGTCTATTTTTAATTTATTAATTACAACGTGTTGAAATGTTCTACACGACACTATCCCTAATAGACTTTGATAAACAACGCGTCATATTTATTACAGGTGCAAGTGCGATTTATATTATTTTGATTTACCTTATTAAATTTATTAATTAAATTTTTGAATAAAATTAAATTTATGCGGCGTTACGAATTACTTTTTACTTCCTATATATAACAATGAAATAGCTAATGATATTTTCAGATTTCAAATTAAAATGTTTGCTTCTTTGTTTGTATTTTTCCAAAACTGCTAATATATACGCTATGTTTTATTTTCTATACATGTCGATAAGCTTTATGTTTTTACTATACCACGAGAATTTATTTAGAGATTATTGGGAGAGCTATTGTGTTTGAAAATTGAATATTTATTATTGAATTATCTATAACTTTACAAAATTGCTAAAATCACTGGTCAAGTCACGTGCTACAAGAAACTTTTGTAGAAGGAATTTCTTATCTGTATTATTTTTTTATATACTACGTTAACTTTACATCTATGGTCATATGCTAAGCTATATATATTATTAGGCATAGTTGCCTGATAATATATTACAACTGCAGGGTCACTACGAAACTTCAATAGCGGTTTTGATCCTGATCTCAATATTTTAGTATCACATAAACGAGTTGCGACATAAGTGTTTTGAATAGAGATAGAGTGCGAGAAAGAAGAGAGAGAGTCAAAGTATACCTAATTTGGTCTGTTAGGTTCAATTGTTTCTACTGACCATTATAAATGTTAAAGTTATCTTGTAACATTGATAACATTTGTTTCAATGGCGCGAAAAATGCTTGGCACTATCAAGTGTGATTTCTTCAATGACTGGTGATGAGGTGCCAAGAATCTTCATTTTGAATACCTATCAGTAGACGGCTGTATTATATGTTGACGTTTCTTGTATCGAATTCAATCGAGCGTACATCGGTGATTTATTTTCGGCCACTAATAATTAGATGACAGGCGCCGGAGTCTTTTTAAGAACGTTATTAGTAATTAGATCTTAATTATCTAGGCGATGCCTACCACGAAGATTGGATTTAGCAAAGTTGCGGCAAGTTACGAATTTATTTATTTTCCATATTTATTTATCTAATAGGTAGTCCCAGCGCTAGAGGCTTTTGAGTGTGCAAAATGTGAGTGACGAATTTCGCCAACGGATTTGAGTTAAGAAAAGGTCAAGGAATAATACTATGGATCTTGCCGGTCCCATTTTTTCGTTCGATTTCTGTTAACATTATAAATCATACAATAAACTATAAACAACAATGAATTGATTTTAATCCATCTAAAAACAAACCTTGAGACTAATTTTCATCGTTCTTTAGATATATAAAAAATTAAATAAATCAGTGATACTACAACCTCTTTAGGTCTTGGCCTCAGATTTCTGGATCTGTTTCATGATCATTTTTAAATCAAGTAGGTGATCAACCTCCAGTGCCTGACACGCGCCGTCGACTCTTTGGGTCTAGGAAATGTCGGTTTCCTCACGATGATTTCCTTCACCGTTCGAGCAAATATTAAAAGCGCTGAAAGAAAGTCCATTGGTGCACAGCCGGGGATTGAACCTACGACCTCAGGTATGAGTGTCACACGCTGAAGCCACTAGACCAACACTGCCCTTTTTAGATATATAGTTTAAAATATACCGTTAGAGAATATACGAATGTGAGTACTGGTGTAAGACTCCCAAGCTGAAGTGCTAATAATTTAATGAGAACGATAATATTAAAAGAAAACGTGGGACCTAGGTATTCTTAAATATTACGTTAGTTAAAGGATTTTGACTACAAAATATTCATAGGAAAGGAAATTGGTTCTGATTCAAATATTAAGTTTCCCTGAAGAGAACATATCGGAATTAGCTAACTATGAAAGATATACAAATAAGCATAGTACACGCTTGATTACCAAGAGATATCATTTACACGACAAATACATAAGTTATTCTTAATAGAAAGATCCTTGTAATCAACTGTAAAAATATTTCTGTGTTCTAGCCGTTGTCACAGTTCTGAACGATAGTTTTTAAATTTTCCGTGATGAAAATAGGGAAAGCGTAACATCTTTGTAAAATATTTGGCAACCCGCCAAAAACTTGGGAAATGTTAAATAGCTATGTACTTGTCTGTGTTTTGCGTTTTAATGGTTTTTTAAGATCAATGAAGGAGGTAATGAGGAATTTTAATAGTGTTATTCCTAGTGTTTTTGTTTGATCGTGTTACATTCATTCATTATTTCATTCAAGGTGTTTCGTAAATATACCGTTAACCAACGTTTGAATAACTACTTGAAATAATAATTTAATTAATTATTATTTCAAGAATTAAATATTCATATTTATGTAAATGTTAGATGCGATAGACGTTATCCTTAGACCTTTGATTCAAATACTGTTAGCGTTTCAATGTTATTATGTGTATCTGAGATACATAATCTAAGTGATCAGGAAATATCAAACCAGATTTTCTCATGAACTATTAAAAGAATAAGGCCAAGACTGTAAAGGATATACTTAAGAATCAGTTTGACTACCTCAAACGTTACTATTACGATTTGACAGCTTTTATATATTATATAAAGAAGAAAATAAAAAGTAGTGGTCATAGTCGTAGAGTAGCGACGGATCTGACAAATAGTAAACAGGGCAGCCATTTCAAATTAATATAATCATGTTAGTTTTTTTGTCATAACTTTTTTAATTCATATTCTGTAATTATGAAAATTAGCCTACAAGCAAACAAAGGGGTTTTTTTTGATACAAAATAAAAATAATAACATTAAATTACACAGTTTTCTAGAAAAATCACAGGTTTCTATGAGCGTACCTATCAAATCCGTCACTTTACCGACTGATTAATTTGAAATTTAAAACACATGGATTTTTTTTTGTTACCGTAATATTTAGTCAATGTACTATCCAAATATGATAAAAAGTGGATTTTGGATTTTTTTCAAAACCGACATTGTTCTACGATCATGACGATATATTTGTTAGGAACAGTGAAAAAAATGATATATATAAGAATAACACAAACTTTTTAAAAATATTTATTTTATAAAAACCCATAACAACATGATATAAAATTAATAACAATTTGTATATTACTATTATGGCCAAGCGATTGTGTTAAGAATGCCATTATATTCTTTAACTCTACTGTTGTACAGTTTCTAATTGTTTCTTAGAAGTCCTGCTGTCACCAACTAGCGAACTAATGATTAATTATTAAAATTATTCTATTTATTTTTAAACTGCTTAATTATTCGTACACTCTTTCGTCAGATTCGGTTTCTTTATAAGGTGGTTTCAAAATAATATTAAATATCGTGGGGTAACGCCTCCTGGGTGACGATAGTAAATAAATTGGTTCCACCTTTAAGTCATTTACAATGTCGTCTATTGTTTTATCCAATTCCGTAGTATCTATTGAAGTTCCTTCTTTGTCTTCAGTCTTAACATCTTTTGTTATTATTTTATCAATTGCCATATTTTCATCTTTTTTAGATATTACCTTGTATTGAATATTGTCACTGTTTTCTTCATTTTTGGTGTACACTTTGTTGAATTCTATATCTTTTCTGAATTCAACGGTTTCGTCGGGAATCTTTGTAATCGGATCAGTTTTATCAATTGTGTACTTATCTTTTTTACCGTACTGACCTTTACGTGATTTGTAATCAAAAGCATCTTTTTTTTTGGTAAACTCTGGACGCGTTCCTAAAGCTAAAGGATCACTCGGGATATCATAATCCATTATATTGTCATCAACCACATCCCATTTCTTTTCACGGTTATATCCACTGCCATAGGTGCCAGGTTTACTTTCGGTCTTGTGAGTAATTGTTATATCTTTTAATAAAGTATTGGGTAAATTAAACAATTCTTGGATGTCAATATCTAAATCAAATGGATATCCCGGTGAAAATATTGCATCGTAGTTTAACTGAATATTTGCTTTGGATCCACCTGGAATTGCTTTAATATACGGAGCAACAAAAGCAAATAATTGAAAAGGTAAGCCGTCACTGCTTCCTTTAGGTAAAATTAGTCGCGACGGAAAACCAATTTGTGATCTAACCGAATTCAGAGGCAATGCATCAACTCCAAATTCTGAATCTATTACATTCTTACGCACTGTACGTAGAGGCACAAAATCGTCAGATATGTTATTAATTTCGTCAGAAGTTCTGGTAATCAAATTACTACCCCTTTTAAGATTTATTTCAAAGCTATCTAATAACATAAATAGATTCTTGTTTTCTCGAATTTCACCCAGGGTTACTTTTGGGCCTAAGTACAGCTTCATTATCCCTTTTTGAACCACCATCGATGATACATTAACTTTTATTGCAAATGGCTTGTGATTAAGTCTTCCTTGATTTATTTTTATTTGGAAGTTTGGATCCTGATCGCCATATTTCATTGCATCCGTTACATCAAACACATACGGATCAAATGATGTCATTACTTTTTTAACATCAACATTCATAATTTGTACCCCAGGGAAATATAGTTGATTCTTTGTGTACCCCGGTAGTACTTTCAAAGAATTGCTGACATTTTCAACCATCTTCTTAATAATTCTCCAGAATATAGGATCACGTAACTTAGTCATGCTGTGACTGAGAGCCGATAGGGAACTAGAAAATAAATTAATATCATTTTATGTTTTACATTTATAATAATTTCAATCCAACGTTAGTACGAGTAATAATATACCTTTTAGTTGAAATATCGTCCGTCATAGCTTTAATAGCTAAATTAATATAACTGTTGTCATTAAAAAGCATTATATCCATTACATGTCTTAAAATTGCCGCTTTATTAAAGCCACCATCTCTCTGTAAATATTTCCGCTAGTATTAAAATAATAGTTAATTTTCAATGAAAAGTCAGTGAAAATTTTAAAATAATAAAATAAACCTTACCAAGTGCGTCACAGTAGTAGCAATGTTGTTTTCTATATCCTTCAATGATGATATTACATCCTGACTACAAATTCCCTGTCTAGAGGTAAAATCGTTGCCGTTTGAATACATAATCATAGGATCATAACGGGTGACTTCCATGTCATCCCAATTTATACCATCAGTTTCATATAAGTCATTAGAATATCTTTCTAAATCATATCTTATAATGAGTTGCTTCATAAAATGATATATGTATTCACCATATCGTACGTTCCGCTGGAATTCCGTGTCTATCCACGGCAAATTCTTTAACGTTGTTAGATAAAAGTATGAGTTTAAACCGACATCTTCATGGAAGTATGACAACACTGCCTCCTCGCTACTCTCATAGTCCGTATAATTTGCATCAACAATAAAAGTGTTCCCATCTTCGCGTATGTTATCGCTCAAAAAAATGTCCTTTTCAGAAATAAGAGACGCAGCTTGTATAATATAATCTTTGCGAACGAAATAATTAGGAATCAATTCGTATGGCGCAGGAATGGACAGTTTTTCTGTATCCTTTCGGGTCATAATTGCGAGGTATATAGCGTTAGTAAATATTCCACAGTTAACATTTTGACGAGCCCAACATGCAACTTTGTAGAATATATCAAAATCTTTAGCGTTATATAGAACATTATAAACTAGGCGGAATTCGTTGAAATGTTCATCAATTGTCTCACTAAAAATTTCTCCTTTCGCTAATAGGCCTTTGCTAGATTTAAAACTTTGTAGTTTTTCTATCACTTCCGTTTCCTGAAATTATAAACAAAAGAATCTTAGCACTTGAAATTGATAACTTATATAGTTACAAACATCCTAATATGAACCAATCTGTTAAGAGTTACACCTTGCCTGTGCTGATACTCTGTAACTTCTAATAGCTAAAGTGATCACGGTACTTAACTTATTTATGGGATTTCGATGTAGTTATATCAATATCCATAACGATGAACAACGCAACAAAAATTATTAGTGTTCCTACTTTTTAGTACATTCATCACGTCTTAAATTAAATATAGCTATTAATAGTAAAATAATGCAAATTACCAAAAAGTCAGCAGAGTCGAATGCAAATTCAATGCTCAGTTTTACAATGGTTGGATCTGAGCTGTCTTCACAGATGTTATCAAATAATGGAAGCATTAGTTTTTGAATGTTTACCCATCCTATAGGCGCTAAAAATATTTACACAATTTATTAACAAATTGCATAATGAGTTACATTTTTTATTGCACGAGGTCGTAGGTTCGTATCTCGGGTGTGGACCATAAGTTGCGGTCTTTATGTCTATGTGCGCATTTAACACTTGCTCGTACGGTGAAGGTACGGGTACCGTACCCGTGAGGAAACCGGCATGCCTTAGACCCAAAAAGGCACAGAAGGCTGATCACCTACTTAACAATTAAAGAATACAAATGATCACGAAACAGATACACAAATCTGCTCAGACCTGAAAGGTTGTAGCGCCACTGGTATTTTTATTGTAGGTATAAAATGATCTCTTGCGCAGAGCAACCCTATTACTGAAAATTTGAAATACTGAAAATATTTCGGAAAATTATAACTTCTATTAAAAAAAAGTAGTCGTTACAACCCTCTAGTCGTAGCGTCATTTCTTTATATTTTCTCTTAATATGCAAGCAGGTGACACACGCCGTCAATGATTGGATGTTAAATGTGCTGGAACTTGCTTATACGGAAAAGGTACTTAGGGTCTGTTTCACAATATACGGATAAGTTCTACATAAGTTCCAAATTAGATATTTATTACTTATTGCAGTGGCGGATTTACCAGCAGGCTGAGTAGGCTGAGCCTAGGCGGCAAATTTTAAGGGCGGCAAATTTATTCAATTTTTTTATTTCCGTTTACAAATTTAAAAAAAAAAATTTATACACACACATAATACGAATTTCGAAAATTGGAGAGAAATTAAAATATTTAACAAAAATCGAAATATTCTCATATACAGTGCTAATTAATAAATATTTCAACATCTCTGCATGAACAATTCCTAAACGCTTTACTAATTAAACATTAATGATTATGAACTTTTAGAATATCGCGATTCGATATTATAATGAAATTTAGTAATTTTTAAATATATTCTTCACTGATAACTGCTATAATTTTTCTCCGTGTACCTAATAATTATGAGATCTGTTACCCAATTCAATCGATATAATATCGATGGTCTAATAAAAATACTGACTAAAATTGACTAATTTTTATTAAATAAAAAACTAGTTCAATATTTATAGAATCATATTAATTATATGATATTGAACGACTGTGACTTGACAATAAAAAAATTCCTCCACAAATATGAATGAGACAATTTCTCATTAGAAAATTGAAATTTTATCAGTTAATTATTTTATTTGAATAAGAAAAAGTTTGGAAAATCCATGAGCAGGCCTTAAGCTCATGTCGTACACAATTTAAATTAAATGTTTAATATAATTTGATAACTTTTTCGCAAAGCCAACTTTTTCAGAAAATGCCAATCGGAATGAATTAATTATAATAGATAAACAATACTCACTAATTTTTATTAGCTTCTCTCAAGTTAACAGTATATTTAAAAAATTAATGAAAAATTATTTTTCGAAAGTTATGTTTTACTGTGAACACGATCATCCAAAATCCATACGATATGGCACTAAAATTACTTCCTTTTAAATAAAAAATAATTAATATACCGAAAAATAATTTTTATAAGCTCAGGATCATTTTTCTTTCGATAATTTTTTAAATAATATTATGTACATCATATTTTTAGATAGGTTTAATGTGAGAAACATGGAAATTTTTAGGCAAGAGTAGAGATTTCTACTACTTACTTAAGGATCAATTGCGTATGTATTTTATTGTAGGCCAGAACAAACGACATGACATTCGGTAAAGTGTCTGTGAATGGATAGCAAGTGCGCGGATAGGGTTACTACGTGAGCCGAAGCGGGCTCCTGATGTATAAAAAAGTTGGAATTTTATTGATAGAAAATTGATATGATTGTGGATAAGATATCAAACTTTAGGGGGGGGGAAAAATTGTAGCCTACGGGCGGCAAATCCATAATCCGCCATGACTTATTGGTAGGATTAACACAATTGTTGCGTTTCACGACTGTCAGATAGCGCTATTCGTCACATAAACTCCATCATAAGTTATGAGTCCGATGAAAGTCAAATAGCACAATTTATTTCCCAAATAATTTATGTGTTGCATAGCTTTTTGGTACTTTATCCTTACATTGTGAAACAGACCCTTACAGTACTGTATAAATAGTATAATAGTATAATTGCAGATTCTACATCTAACACTAACAAATAAATATATCTTACATTTTTTTTCTAATGAAGTATTCCAACTACAGTAATTTATTATATTAATAATTCTTACCTATTCGTGGTTTTGTAGGTGTTGTTGGCACCTTTATTAGATATCCGAAGGTGCTGGCACAGAGGCCTGCCAACAATATTGTTAACAACTTCATATTCAATCACACACTGATTTTTTAAAATAATATTATCCCTTAAATACTAAACAATTTAATTAAACCGATAAAGGGTTGAATGTACTAATTGTTTTATAACATTGAAAGACGAAAGTTTATTGTTTTCTGCGGTTAATCTAATGTTTTTGGATGGGTTCTGCATCTGTATGCAAATTTGATTGCATTTAAATATTTATTGAGTTAAATAGTACCATATTATGTAGCACAGTGCTACGTTTAAAAAGCAAGAACAACTTTTTAGTGCAAAAGCTCGCGTTGCCCAAAACTGGATGTTCCGCGCGCTCCCTCGGATGTTTGAAACCTAAAAAGATTCACAAAAAGTCTTACATGTTATACGATTTTTAATAGTGGTATAGCCGAGGCAAGCATTTAATATAATAAACTGTAATCATCAATATAAATGAGCATGAAGACATTACGTAGGGGATAAAACATTAAGTAGAGCACCTTGGTTAAAATCTTTTTCTACAGTGTAATGTTTTTATGTGTTTAAGTTCATTTTAAATTAATAATGTCGTATTTGTATGTGGTATATAACATCCAAGGGGCCTATTTAGAGCCATGTGGAGGGCTGCTTTGTTCTAAGTGGGCCAATTACTTTGATGGCTTTGAATGTAGGCCCCGCGTCTTTCCGGCATCCATGGTACTGGGCTGCGTAGGCGCAATTAAAAGTAATCTTAGATCTTAGTCGCTAATTTATTAAATTAAATTGCTTTGCTAAGCATCTCTAAAATAATGTATGAAAAAAATTTGTCGCTAATTAATTAACATTACAAAAGGTCACAATATCTTAATAGTCCTTATCATTTTATTATTAAAAAACAAAACGAACGAAACATTAGGAAAGGTTATCAACAATGTCGAGATGGGAAAATTACCAGCCGAGTTAGAAGTAACAAGGACTAGCAATCAACTTAATTCGACCGAGACTGAACCCATCGCAAGTCCCATGCCCCACTGGATTTCGTTTCTAGTTGACCCCACGAACAATACATCTATTGCTTCGAATTTCTGAAATAGTTCCAGTTGATATTATGAGACTTCGCTCTCACTATACGCAGCTAACTTCAAACCCATTAGAAAAAAAAACATAAATGTATCATCCCAATACCCCAATAAAGTTCAAGGGACTTTGCTCTCTTTGCTTAAAAGTTAAAAGAATACGTTAGTATAAATCATTGCACATCATTTCAATAATATCGCAGCATTTGTAGAAATAGAGCAGTGTTGGGCTAGTGACATCCTCAACGTCTTAGGTTCGATCTGCGGCTGTGCACCAATGGATCTATTTATATGCTTTAAGCACTCGCTCGTACGGCGAAGGTAATATCGGGATGAAGCTGGCTGACTGGCGGCTGGTAAGACCCAAAAAGTCGACCGCGTGTGTCTGGTACAGAAGGATCACCTACTTATATACAGACCAGATACAGAAATGTGAGGCCCAGACCTAAATAAGTTAACAATTTCTACAATCAATGCTTGTAGAAATAGGATACATTTGTATATTTTTTTGGTTTTCAAAATATTTTGTTTATTTAACACGTTATGAAGAAAACCAACCATCTCCGGATTGTAAAATTAAAAATTAGTTTTAAAAATAATTCGGTCAATAATTAACCTGTTAATCACATTTATAGCGTCCTCTGTTTAATATTTTACAAACTAGCTGACTAGAAGTTATGTTTCGAGTTACAATCTCTACGTCTAGATGGCATAAAACATAATAATTAGCCTGTATACGTTTCATAAGACATTACACAGAGGGCGCTTAATAAGTTTTTCCTTTTTGTAAGAATTTATTAGGTAAACACTTCTTATTAGGATAGAGTTCGTGACATCCATTGTTGAAATTTGTGCGATAATTTGTCTTTGTATATTTTTTGTTGTGGAGTTTATTAGATAATCCCAAGACATTCATTGAAATCAAATATCGTCAAAGGCGATTTTGTTGAAAATTAAATATTTGTGATCACGTACCCATCTACTTATTTATTTGAATGATATCAACCATTAATATTTGATTTATGTTTATAAATATTATGATGTAATAATGCTATCAAAAATATAACTTGTAAAAAACAAATCTCGCTTATGGATATCCCACAATAACATTTTTTTGTCATTCACTTTTAACGACAAATAATGGCTAATTTTCGAAGCGATTTTAACCAATACAGCATTAATCCTTATCCAATTAAATACCTTAAATACATTGTTGATTTAATATAGGTCTATATGGCCTTTACAGCATATGATTTTAATGAATATTTTCGAAGATATTACAGATTTAAAAATTGCGGGAGCGTGCCTATTAATAGCCCGTCGGAGGCCGCGGGTCTTCCTATAGCACTTTGAATTTAGTATCAGCATTGCACACAAATATAAAATACTTACAATATTACGAAATTTTAATTTTAAAAATAGAATTTCTTTAAGGTAATTTGCCCTTCTCACTCTCTCTCAATCGGTCTCAATCGCGCTCTCCCTTTTCTTTTAAACGCTGCACAACTTCGTGACGTTCCGTAAAAATTTTACACTCATGCGCCAAAAGAGTTTCACTTCAAAAATGAAAGAAGTAATGTTGTTGAGGATATCCGTTCTTAACTTAAATGGGAACAGTATAATTTCAGTGTGTTTGATCCTTAATGCTGTTAGCGTGGTGTAGGTAGACAACAAATAATTTACTAGGGATTGACGCATAAATTTCACAGGCAAAAATTAAATTTATATAAACATAACTTACATTAAATGGCCATATTGAGAGAGAACCGAATACTCTCGACAAATAAGATTACTCCCTACCATTACCAGTTTGGAGGATGGCAGGGATCGATGTTTTGACCAAATTAAGACAATTATGGTTGTCACAATCCCTAATGCCCTGAGACGACCTGAAGATAAAGTAGAGGCTACAAGTCGACGTATCGGTTAGTGCTTTTCAAGACAGGCATGACGTTCAGTAATGAAGGCTACGGAGAAGATTATGAACATAACACTAAAGCTCATTTGCGACAAATGTCATCAGTCATCACAGTACTCTTTACGTTCTTTGTCTTTACGACAGTCGCTTGTGGCGGCGTCCATGCGTCGGGTTGTCTCTCTCCCTAAAATACGGCGAGGGGGCCGATAGCTGGCCATGCGTCATGCTCGTGAACGGGTGCTGCTTGTGGTGACTGGTCGTACTTGAATTCGTGTATGCGGTGATGTTGGTTATTTCGACTATGTGTTTGCGTGTTGTTCCCACGAGAATGTAAGTGCGTGCTCCCATTTCACCATGCCTCCTGCTTATAGAGGACAAATCTTTGTTTTTAATTTATGTTATTATTATTAATTACTTAAAATGTCACATGGGACATGGTGTAATGGTTGCAGCTCCTTACAAACATTTTGTAAAACAAAAAAAATTACGATTAAAAAGATTGGCGGAGAGTTTATTGCCAGTTCTTCTCACCCGTTCGACGCCCTTGATTTGAGAACTGGCAGTAAATGTAAAATTAGAAGCATTATTAATATGTATTTCTTTACTGACAAGTCATAAGTGTACATTATGTTACCTATATGATTAAATGATTTTTTACTTTACTTTAGCACACTTGCTCATTCCCCGCGGTTTGCAGACTGTACAAACATACGTGAGCCCTTAACTGTAAGTTCTAATGCCAACAGCGACCCCGACCCGAATAACAAGTTTCAGTTTCGTTTCCACGGTCGTGACATCAGCGCTACGGATATTGAGAGTACTACATCGAACTTGCAAACAAAAACGTCGGCATTGGTTTCGCTGTCGCTATTGGTATAGAGTCTATCAGCCTGGCCACGGGACATTCGCCGACGCGAATATTCGCGTGGTGCGAACCGCGATGCGTCTAGCGACTGAAATAAACTCATAGCAATGTACTAATCAAGCCACGCGCAACGGCGACCAGCGATGCGACCGGTGAAATGTACCGAGCGAATCGCGCGGGCGACTGACGTCGCGACGGGCGAGCGAAACAAATGCATGAATCAGTACGGTGCAAGCCACGGAGTCGAGCGGCAGTCGCGGCGAATAGAGAAGGGAATAAATAAGTTTAGTCGTGGTCGCGGCGAAAAATGAATACAGAGTTTTTTGTTACTGAAATACTGGCTAGACCAGCTATTTGGAAGTCTGGCCATCCACAGCATTAATTTAATATACCTTAATCTCAAAAACAATTTTTCAGCGGCACTTAAAATTCTATTTGCATTAACTTTTTTCTCCAATTCTGGTTAAATATTCATAAGAATATAATTGAAGGTTTCAATACTCATTCTGGTATACTCAAAAAAATAATTCTGGATATATTCTGAATTTCTCATACTTCTTGTGGAATTCTCCACAATTTCTCCAAATATTAGGTCTTGCACCAAAAGCTATTACTTTCCAAGCAATATCGAGATGATTTCGATAAAGACATTTCGCTGTCGAACTTCCTTACTGGTCGCGGCGGCAAACGTGACTGGTCCGTGGCCTGCAAACGGCCCCGCGCGAATGGTCGCCTCGCCTCCCGCATCGCCGTTCGCACCGCCGATCCCCGTGGCCAGGCCGTATAAGTATAGAGTAAGGGCGCAAATCTTGAGGCAATAGTGACATTTAAAATTATCCTGAAATATAAATACTGTAGAATTTTTTTAGGAAATGTATAAACATCGGAGCCCTAGTAATTTTATTTTCTCTGAAGATGAAACTTCAAAGTGAGTTTTTTATTTGAACATATTAAATATTAGTAACACATTCACATATACGTTAAGTTAGACACAATTAATTATAAAATGTAAGTGTTATGTAGAAGTTATTAGGTACTGTTACCATGTCAACTGGAAGAGCATAGCTGCATACACGACACAGGCAATCCTAAACATCCTTTTTTATTAACTACTAGCAGACCGGCCAAGTGTTGGTGTGGCTAAGGTTTTAGTTATATTACATAGTAGTAACCTATTCAAGGTAAACGGTAGGAGAACACCAGTCATGGGGACCACCATGCTTTTTTGGTGGTAATGCCATTAAATTGTAGCTTATTTGAAACGTTGGTACTTTCAACACAGCGCCATCTGTTAGAATTGTGACTATCAAATAATAAACAAATATTTTGCAATAAAATAATATATAGGTATAAATTGAGATGTAAGCTATCCCATCTTTTAAGTTTTGCAATAAAATAATATATAGGTATAAATTGAGATGTAAGCTATCCCATCTTTTAAGTTTTGCAATAAAATAATATATAGGTATAAATTGAGATGTAAGCTATCCCATCTTTTAAGTTAGATCAAACTGCACACGGTCTGCAAATTTGATTGAAATTGATTCGGTAGTTTAGGAGTCCATAGCGGACAAACAACGTGACACGTATTTATTTATATATTATATTAAGTTTTTTTTTTCCTTTTCATATAGTGTAATTAGTTTATTGTGAAAAGCCTTGTTTCTCGATTAACATATTCGAGTAGAATCAATTACGAGTACGTGTTGGAATACCAATATGTAAGTGTCTTTAGGTAGAAATGATGCTAGGTGTTAGCGTGATTAACAAGCTTTGTGACTTCAATTTAATATATTTTAGGGAAATAAAAGAAATGTATATTTAAAGATAGAATATATTTTGTTGCATATTGTATAATCTATCATATGCTTGATTATATCTAAGTCAGTCGGCCATAGGTTTATTAGGTACAATTGAAAGGGCAGCTTAAAGGTCTTTGTTAATTTCTACATCACCCGTGAAGTAGTCATCGAATGTGTTAGATAACCTAGTTGTCATGTCGTAATTCTTAAGAGTGTAGTAGTCCCAGCGCATTTTCATGTCACACATTTGCTCCTTGTGGAAAATTTTAAAGTCAACAAACTTCATGTTTGGCGTAAAGAACTTAGTGGTTTGAATCTCACGGTCGAATGGGAAACCAAGAGGCATCTTGTCTAATAAGACAGTCGACCTGAAGTCAACGAAATCGTCTTTACGGTATGTATCGAACATAGCTGTGTCAACATTATCGACTAACCTCAAAGGTGTAACAATTATGTATAGTAACATATCCATACCGCCAATGCGACCCTTGGGTAGGATCAATCTGGTAGGGAAACCAGTTTGCCAGTTTTTAAACTCCTTGGTGAACATATCTTTGAAGTCGGTGACAGTACTCAATTTACTCCAGAAGTCTCTGGTCATCATTCTATCGCGGACTAAATTGTGCATGTCAAACGAATTTCTGACGATTACGTTCTTTCCAGACACAAGCTTGTAGTAGAAAGAGTCGAGCTCCACAAAGTTCAAGCGGTTGACGTTCAAGTCGATGATACGACCCCATTGATCCATTTTAGGACCTAAAAAGATTCTGACGATACAGTCAGTAGTCTTGTCAGATGTAATATCGAAGCTGAATTTAAATGGCTGGTGGTTAAGACGGCGTTTACGTACAAAGAAGGTCATATCGGACTTGCTCTTCTTGAACTCGTCGTCGTTTAGGATAACTGCGTTGGTCATGTCCATTAAGTAGTCATCGAAGTAGGTGACCATCTTGTCCACAACAACGTTGTCAATCTTAACTCCAGGGAAGTACAAGTCTTCATGGGTGTAGGAAGGTAGACGCATTTTGAAGAGAATGAATAAGTAGCTTAGACGTTTCTGTAGTTGATAGAAGACTGGGTCACGAAGTGCTGTTTGGTATGTATCCAATATCGTTGGCGCAACAAAGTATCTGGAAGTAAGAAAGAAATTGATAAATAAAATATTAAGGTAAAAACACACGTTTAGGGAGGGGAAGCACAGGTTTGGGTTAAATTTTTACTATTCAAATTATGATTATTACTTACTTGTCGGAAAACCAAGTGTTAAGTCCAACGATTGATTTCATCATGATGAGCATGTAGCGGTAGGCCCCTATCTGTCCCTTGTAAAGGTCGGTTCTTTCATCAGCTCCAAAAACTAGTTTTCCAAGTTTCTCAATGTCTGCAGGCTTGGTGAGTTCGTATCTGATTCCATTCATCTGAAAGAAAAAAACATTCGTTGTATAGTATTATTTGGTACATAATTTAAAATCATCAATTCATATTCATTATTGTTTTATCGTTTTGTTTATTTAAGTGACTGGTGAGTGCACGTCATGAATAAAAAGACGGTGACATTTATACCTCAATAAATCCTTTAATGATAGCTTCGTTGATCATCTTTTCGTAGTTTTCGACAAGGTTAACGAAGCCCACATTGTTATCCTTAACAGTGACGTAGTCATTGAATCTGTTCGGGAAATTCACTCCATTATGCATCATTAACCAGGGCCAGTAACCTTCTTTGATCGGTTTGTACCACGACAGGACAGGGATATCACCCATTCCGTTAGAAAGACGCTCCAAGTAGTATCGGGCGAGGATCTGTTGGTACACATACATTGTCATTTCCCACCTACGGCTCATGAATTTGTTGTTAAAGAAATCGTCTTTCATCCAGAATGGGTAGTCGACGTGGAAGTAGTAATAGTAAGTGTTGAGATCAACGTCTTCAGTGAAGTATCTAAGCCTGTCCTCATCATTCAACCAGACGCGTTTGTCAAACACGTTTTCGTCGATAACGTAAACGTCTTTGTCGGTCTTCTTGATACCGTAGAAGTGGCTCAGTTTTCCGTCGAGCATTCCCTTCTTCATTTTCAATAAGTATGCTTTCTGGATCACATCAGCTCTGACGAAGTAGTAGGGATAGATTTCATATGGCGGTGGGAGTACTATTCCTTTGCAATCTTCGCGGTGTCTGACAGCTACTGTCATGGCGTAAACAAACATTCCTTCGTTAAGGTAAAGACGCATCCAGCATGCGGTCTTGATGAAGGTGTCAAAATCCTTGGCATAGTACAACATGTGGAACATGGTGACTACTTCTTTGAGCTGGCGATCGACGTGAAGCGTGAAGACCTCTCCTCTTGGGAGGAAGCCAAACTTCATATAATTGAGGAAGGTCTTGACAACATCTTGTTTCTGTAATATAACATACAAAATTTATTTTTATTTGTATGAAATTTGGATGATACGCAAATCAACTTATCTACTTAAGTAATTGATATTTATTATTGTCAAACAAACTCTTTACTTCTGATACAGTCCAGCTAGACACTCATATATTTACTTAAAATTTACTTACGGTGTACAAATCGACATTTTCTTCAATTTTAAAGTTTCTGCCCATGTCTTCGATGTCCTTGTAGGAAACTGGTTCCAATATGTTATTAAAAAGCTTCAATATAAAGAATTGGCGCTCTTTGATGTCCATGGGAACTGAAATAAGATAAATGCAATAAGTGATGATAAAAATGTATGTGAAATTAATAAAATTGATTGGATAGTCTTACGACTTAATTTTATTTGGAATTCTATTGAATCTAAATATCGAAGGAATAGTTTTTTCCAGTTTGTATGAATATATGAAAAAATGTGATAAAATACAACTTCTAGGATATATGAACATGCAACACTCGGAATTAAGATTAAAAATTACTTACATTTAAAGTCGTCCTTCATGTCCAAACTGGGGACGGCCGTAGCCAGGGCTGCTAGCCCCAGCACAAAACAGAGTACCGCCTTCATTGCACCAGATCGCCAGTTAATGCCACTGATCACAAATCTTCATTATATATAGCCAAAGCTACTGATGTTTACAAAACACTGGATAAAGGTAAATTTGATATAGTTTACGAAATTATTATCAGAGAGAAATTAAAACTGTTTTTAAATTTCTCTATCTAGGGTCATAACTTATGTTGCGATATCTTTGTATAATTAAGGTAATTTTACTATCTCTTATTTGTAAATATTGTGCATATAGTTCGATTTAATTACATCATTGTTTACAGTTTTGATTGTAGAGTTTTCTAGTGAATTTTAATTAAGAAAGGAATTGGTGATTAATTATGTTATGATTTGATTAGAGCTGCAGTCGTTATGGAAGCAAGGTTGTTATGGAAGATTATGACGAGAAAATAATCAGTCTGTATCATTCACAAAATAATCAGTCCTTATTGCACTCTCAGTAAAGGACATTTTCGTTTGTTTTAAATAAAATAACACTAGAAAGACACGAGTAGGTACTTTATTTAAAAAAGTTGCAATAGGGCTGATTTATCTTTTTATAAATAACTCTATTACCTACTCATGTTTCTGTTCTCCTTTTAAACAAAAAATATAAATTACTCAAAAAATCAAGGTTCTGTTTCACAATGTATTGATAAAGTACCAAATAGCTATGCAACACATAAATTATTTGGAAGATAAATTGTGCTATTTGACATTCATCGGACTCATAACCTATGATGGACTATATGTGACGAATAACGCTATCTGACAGTCGTGAAACGCAACAATAGTGTTTATCTTACCAATAAGTAATAAATAGCTAATTTGGAACTTATGTAGAACTTATCCGTACATTGTGAAACAGACCCTAACGCTGGCCATAGACGGACCGCATAATGCAGTCGACTACGACTGCTTAGAGCAGTTGTGTTCGACCGCAAAATAAAACTGATGCGAGTTCATTTATAAGATGGATTTCGATGAAGAAACACTGTTTCTTGTACTACTATTACGCAACCGTAGGCGTAGAAGACACCTTAGCATGTGGATGCGTCCAATAAGCGTGGTTTCATTTGATGAATTAGTTAGTATTTTATTTTATTTGAGGGTGTGGCGCGCGGTCTGCAGCAACCGCTTGTAGCTGTCCGTGTATGGTGGGTCCGGCAGCTCTAAGCAGTCGACCGCACGGCGAAACTCGACCGCAGAGTGACTGCTTCGACCGCTCAGAAACTTGTCGTGCGGTCCGGTCCGTGTATGGCGGATATGAATTTAGTATGGAAACTGCAGTTCGCCGTGCGGCGGCGAATTACATGTCGAGTTTTGTAAGCGCATTCGGTTTTATTGAAGTCTGTTAAGAACAATTGTTACCTTTTTGTGAATAACTTTTAAATTAGAGGTACAAATAGAAATAATTTAGTTTTCATTTTGATTATATGTATATAGATAACTAGCTACCCCCGCGAACTTCGTTTCTCCTTTATGTGATTTTACTTAGCCTACCTCTTTAGTACATAACAACATGGATCATTTTGCTATACTACCCCAGAGACTGTTCGGTTTTCCGGAATAAAAACTTTTTAGGTTGTTCAGTGATTATTTCTCTATAACCTCTCTAAAACCTCAGAGTTCAAGTCATATTAATAAATAAAAAATAGGGGTTGATCGTAGAGGGGTGAAAATTAAGGGTTGTAGGTATGCTGTATCATAAAAATATAAAAACTAAAAATTTTGTCTAAAAAGTATTTTTTTTTGAGGTGAACACCCCTTATCACTTAGGGATTTGAAAGATAGATTGTAGCTGACTCTCAGACTTAGTAGATATGTATAAAAAAATTCATAAGAATCGGTCAAGCCGTTTCGAAGGAGTATGGGAACGAACATTGTGACACGAGAATTTTACCTTCCACCCTAATCTAGAAAAAACCGTTTTCTGGGAAATAATTGCTCAACCTGATTTCTATAGAAATAGGATAAAATAGCTATTATTTAAATCTTCGTTCCATTAAAAACACGTTCAGTATTTTCTTAAAATTAACCATATTTTAATTGTTATGCGGTATGTGAAACAATAGAGTTTTTGCAAAGCTTGTTATTCGTGACAGTCTATTAAAGTGTCAAACAGTAGTAAACTCTTACTCCAACTTATGATAAACCTCATAACTCTAGCTTTATTTATTGGTTATAAAAAAATTAGTGTTCATTTTCACCCATCATTTCAAATTACTAACGTAAACGTTAGGTGACACGAAATGTATTTTAACTATTACTTTAAGAAGTCAAAAACAAAACATTTATGCCATACGGAAGTCATATTTCGCGCCAGTCTGGATTCTGAATCTGAAATCCTTATGTAATAAACATTGATATACAAAAACCCAAGATGCACAATCAACGTCTAAAAAACGTCCTCAAAAAATGAGCGCAACATTCTAAATTGTGCGCTCATTTCAAATAGTCTCGCGTCTATAAGTGGAGTCGATGTTATTTATTTGTGTTTTTTTTATAAATAAATTTATGTACTCTTGAACTTTTTTGTGTGTAGTTTTTGACAAATATATTTACGCTATATAAAGTGTGGGTCAGGAGGTAGCCAATTTAACATTTTTTTTTTAATTTAAAGAAAAAACTTTTTAACCGGATTAATGTTATGTATTATTATAAATTTACAACTATTTAACATCCAACACCTTTTGTCTTCAGTCACCGTGACCACTCACGCTGTAAAGCACCCGAAAAGTCGGATAAATTTAAAATTATGTTAAATAGTTGTAAATAAAAAAGTCATGTTCGACTCCACTCAATACCTTGTCCTACCGACCACGGTCTGTCGTAAAATTTTATTGCTTTAAGTACGTATACACTGCGTTGTAATAACAACTTTAAGCAATTCGCGTAAGGTTGATTTTGCAATAATATATGCTTGTAACATATACTGTTATGGACAGAAATAGTGTTTCGGGACACTTTCGAGCGTTACTTTTATTCGAGACTGTGCATCTTGGGTTTTTTGTATATCAATGCATACGGAAGTCACATTTCGCGCCAGTCTGGATTCTGAATCTGAAATCCTTATGTAATAAAGGGTACATTTTGTTATTATGTAATTATACTTATTATGCTTATCATAATTAATATATAAAGACTAAATACATATAAAAACCAAGAATACTGATGTGTAATTCGTAGACTTATTTATTCGTTGATTCGTAGACATATTTTTACAGGTTTTACAAGATTGTTTCTAATGTTGCGAGCGTATAGAATCTATTTTTTTTTTTTTTTAAAGACAATTCACACCAATTGACCTAGCCCCATGCTAAGCTGGTGAAGCTTGTGTTATGGGTACTAGGCAACGGATATACATACATATTATAGATAGATAGACGTATAAATACATATTTAAACACCCAAGACCTAAGCACAACACCAAATGCTCATCACATCGATGTTCGTCTCAGCCGGGGATCGAACCCGGGACCCATGGATTCGCAGTCAGGGGTACTAACCACTAGACCAATGAGTCGTCCTATCGTCATCTATTGGCAAATGCCTAGGTTATTCGCGATACCAAGGGCCAGAAACAGTCTGTTGCACAAATCCCTGTTATCAAAGACGTTGCCTGGGACTGGTAGACTGCTGTCTCCAACATTATCGGCATATTATTTATATTTACGCAGAGTGAATTCACAGTACCGATATTGTGTTTAATATTACATACTTTATTATATTATATTTTTTGTCGACATTATCGTATTGGCATAGTCTGTAAGGATAATGTATGTATTTCTGTAATAAATAAATAAATTGAAGAGGGGAAACGAAGAGGGGCCCGTTTTCAGAATAACTGTTTTTACAGGAGGGACAAAATACTGTTTATTTTAAAAATGAAACAAAATCATCATCATCAATCAAATAATTTTTATTTTTATTTCGAATAGTATGCTTAAAACTATTACATAACAAAAAAATAAAAGTTTTATGTTTATTAAACAAACAGATACTTAATTTAAAAAATCAAAATAATGGGCCCTTCTTCTAGTGACCGTGTTCCATGTTCCTGCTTTCTAGTTATTTTTTATTACTAGACTACTAGAAATTAACACAATCAATTATTGTTTCTGTTAATTTAAACGGTAAGTCGTCCAAAGTCCATCTATCTATCTAACTTTTCTCAGAGAAAGTGAGGATAAATCGTTGTCTAAGTTGTTCACGGGGCAATGATCTGCGCCGGGGGAGTGGGGCGCGGGGCGCGGTGGACCGACCGGCAGTTACAATTACGGACAGGCGCGCAGAATAAGAATTTTATTTTAATACAATTTAAATCAGTCAGTTTTGTTTGATTGCTGCAATTGCAAATTCATCAGCCAATCCATCTCCCGGACAAAATTTGGCGACCGTGACAGGACAATCGGTCTGCATCCAAGGGCCGTGAATAAAGACCATAAGAATATATTCAGAAGATTCATAAGAAGTAGCCCTTCCTTACCTAATACTTCCTTCACCAATTTATGATTTCAATCAGTGTTAAATAGTTGTGATCAATCTAAAAAGTGCGTTAATACTTGTTTTAAGGTCTATTTTCCAAGTAAAAGTCGATTAAAATTCGAGTTACAGTATAGAATCATTAACGGTTCTACGCAAATCTACTACAGTTTAAAAAATAAAACTAACTTTAGTTCTACAATAACTGCCCAAACTGGGTACAATATTTAACTGCCTAAACTAGGGGTACAATATTTACTATTTCCTTTGTCTTTACGTTGCATTAAGTAATTTTGCGCGTTAAGATATTTAACTGCCCAAACTAGGGGTACAATATTTACTATTTATTTGTCTTTATTTGCAATAAGTATTTTTTGCGCGTTATGATATTTAACTGCCCAAACTAGGGGTACAATATTTACTATTTCCTTTGTCTTTACGTTTGCATTAAGTAACTTTGCGGTTATAGATATTTAACGGCCCAAACTAGGGGTCACAACTGTATACATAACATATGTATACAGTACTATTTT